CCACAGCACACAGTTCCTCTTTGAATCCCCCCAGCATGAGCTGGCTCGGCGCCCTCAGGCCGTCAGCTCTCCGGCAGGATCAAGCAGGCTCGGGGGCACCCCAGTCACCCCTCTTCCAACCAGAAATCAGTCTGGGGTTTTTCCGAACTGAAGGCCACAGAGATGGTATCTGCCTCCTGGAAGCAGGGAGTTTACCTGGGGCCGAAGCCCCAGGTGTGGTGGAGTGACAGTCTGACCGGGATCCTCTTCCCTGCCCTCCCGATGCTGGCCGGGTGCTCCCCACACCACCAGCCCCGCCAGAGATCCGCGGGTGGAGTGGGATTGGTGGCCGGTCCACAGGCCCCAGGGGGCCCTGTGCTGAGGCACACAAGTGGCATGGCTCAGTGAGGAGCCACGCCAAGCGAAGAAGGCTGGCTTGCCCGATCTGAGCCGGCCGGCTCCGCCCCCACCCCCCTGGAGAAAATGGAGGCAGCACTGATGAAGGCGCTTAGCCTGGTGTGGTAAGCTGGGGCCGGGCGGGCCTTTGCCCCCCAAGCAGGGCTGGGGTGGGGGTCACTCACAAAGCTCCCAGAGCTGGGCCTGTCCCGTGCCTTCCTCTCCATCTCTGTGTCACCGCTGCCGTCTTTCCTGGCCTTTGTTGCCTTGGGCTGCTTGGTCTCCCGGCACGGTTGGGGCGCTCTCAGGAATCTTCTTTTGCATCGGCCCTAAAACCTCGAGACTGTAGTTGCTTTTTTTCGTTGTAGATTAGTTGATCAGTGATTTATTTGTTTTTTGTTGCTCTTGGAAATGCAAATAGTACTCTGGCAGCACAGTGCACACTTCTCAGGCTCGTTCTGTCCTCTGGCACACCCGCTCCAGACCCGTCGCCATCTTGCTCCCCCTCCCTTCTCAAATATTAACACCTTTCCCCCTAGAGAAAACTGCTGTTATGAATTTTATAATAATAACATCCTATTTTTCTTTATAGTTTTTCCACTAATATGCGTTTCTAAACAATATAGTATAGTTTTGCTGGTTTTGAAATTTACATTTACATAAATGTAATCATACCATATGTATTCTTGTGTGTCTGCTTAAAATGTGTCTATGTTGTTGCATGTGGTTAGGTATTGCCTGTTCATTTTCATTGCTGTATAGAATTACATTGCATAAATACACAAAATTTGTGTAGGCATTTTATTGTTGCTGGACACTTAGATTGTTTCTGGTGTGAGGCTCTGAAAATCATTTCTGACTATCAGATTTGTCGGCACCACACTCTCCCGAGTGAGCCACGGGCCGGCCCTGACTATCAGATTTGTGAGACACTAAGATTCGATAGCTCTTGTAGACTTGCGTTTTTGAGAATCTCCATTTGTGTGGGGCAAGGAAGAAGAACCTGTTGTTTTTAAGCGGGAGTGACCATCTAGTTCAGGAACCACCGTCTAGACTGAGGAGAGTCATAAAGCCCAGTGCTGCTGCATGTGCGTTGCTGAGAGGCAGAAGCTGCCCAAATGCCTTAACACAATGGGAGCCTTCCTTCCCAGAGACATGTGGACCAGCCTCCGTACCAGCTCCTTCACAATTTTATCCACCACTTTGATAGTGATGTCTGTGGACCAAAGAGCAGAAACCTTGATCCTACTAACAACTTCTTATGCTTTGAAGAGAATGAGTCTATATCTGGGAGATTCCTGCCAAGGTGGTCAGATGGAAAAGAAGCAGTAAAGTCTCTTTTGCAAGTCTACTTTGCAAGTAGGTCAGATTTAGTGCAAACGTGTGTATTTAACATGCTTCCTGAAACAAGAGGGAAAACTAACACATAATGAAGTTTATGGTTGTTGATAATAAAAATATAACTCATCTAGTATTTCTTTCTGTTATGTCTGTGGTCAGAAACCTTGCTAAATATAAGGTTTTAGAATACAGTTACAAAAATTACTCTGTTATATCTAGCATTTTATATTTCCTATGCTAGTTTTAATTCATAGCACGATGATAAATGAAGTCCAGTGTCAGTAAAAGGCTTTGGGTTGTTCTTGCTTCTGATTATAAAACAGACCAAATTAGTATGTCTTTCCATCAGGTTTATAATTGGAGATCTATTGGATTCAGAAAATGACATCTTTGAGGAGTCCCAAGAATGTGACCCTCATGGCTCAGAGGAGTCACAGAAAGCCTTCAACCATGGGACAGAGCTCATCCCATGGTACGTGCTATCCATCCAAGCTGATGTGCACCAGTTCCTGCTGCAGGGGGCCACAGTCGTCCACTACGACCAGGACATGCACCTCTCTGCCCGCTGCTTCCTCCAGCTTCAGCCTGACAACAGCACCTTGACCTGGATAAAGCCCACCACTGCCTCCTCAGCCAGCACTAAAGCAAAACTGGGTGTGCTTAGTAATACAACTGAGCCTGGCAAATTCCCGTTACTGGGCAATGCTGGATTAAGCAGCCTGGTGGAGGGGATCTTGGATTTGTTTTCAGTGAAGGCTGTGTACATGGGACACCCTGGCATTGATATACACACCGTGTGTGTTCAGAACAAACTGGGTAGCATGTCTCTCTCCGAGACTGGTGTGACACTGCTCTATGGGCTTCAGACCACAGACAATAGATTATTGCACTTTGTGGCACCAAAGCACACAGCTAAAATGCTCTTCAATGGATTGTTGGAACTCACTAGAGCTGTGAGAAAGATGAGGAAGTTCCCTGACCAAAGACAGCAGTGGCTGCGGAAACAGTATGTCAGCCTCTATCAGGTAAGGGGTGTGGCCATCCCTCTTTCCTCAGTAGTGTAATTCTCAAGAGCACACACTTGGCAATTAGACCACCAGGTTCAAGTGCCCAGCTCTGCCACTTACTATGTGTGACCTTGGGCAGCTTTTTCTTAACCTTTCAGTGCCTTCATTCCCTTATCTATAAAATGAAATAATAACAATACCTGTCTGTAAGGTGACTTTGAGGATTAACTGAGTTAATATGTGTAAAGCCACAGTATAAATTCATACAAGTGGTCTTCAAAAAGTTCATGGAAGGCTGGCTGGTTAGCTCTGTTGGTTAGAGTGCAGTATTATAACATCAAGGTCAAGGGTGTGGATCCCTGTACCTGCCAGCCACTAAAAAAAAAAATACAAAACTTCATGGAAGGATTCATATTATCTTTTAATTCACCTTTTTCATGAACTTTTTGAAGTACACTCATATGTATAAGGAATAGTGTCTGCTCATAGTAGGTCCTATTATTATTTTGTATGAAAATAGCAACTTTGGTCATTGTGGTTCTCACATCTGTAAAGAAACCAGTTAATATAAGCATTTTCATTTACTCAAGGTTTCACTTGAAAGCATTGTAATCACAGTGCTTTTATTATTAATTAGTAACTAGCTGATAAATTGGAAACCTTCCCTTTGGAAATTGAAATCCTGATTCATCACCTAACATGCTATGTGACTCTTGGAGAGTTATTTAATGAACTGTGTATTGATGCCTTAACTGTAGAACTCTTAAGATTGAAAGAAACTTTTCCAAATGTGGGATAATGCTTCCATGGAGTTCTTCCTCACCAGGTTTGTAGTGGCAACAGCCTTTAACAGGCAGTTTTTGACAGTTGGCTGCTTAAACTTAGTGAGTTTCTTATTAACTCTACATTATCAGGTGCTTTTAACACTCCAGCTAAGGCTGGTGACAGGGCTGGCAGAACAAGATGGTGAGAAGAGACAGGGAACAACCAGAGCAGCATGCTTATTGGGGAATGAGGGTACAGATTGCTTGGAAATTGAGTCATAAACCCCACCACAAGGTGACAGTGTTGAAATGGCATTATCAAATGAATTGTGTCAAAAAGTTCAGTTTTTCTTTGTTATGCTTTTCTGTCTTGCTGAGTGATAACAAAAAAAAAAAATATGCTCTGACCAAGTCAGCTAAATTATAGTGCCTTGGGAGATTTGGGATAAGCCAGCAGTCACTGTCCACCTATCCTGAAAAATGTTATCATAAGACCATTTTACTTAGAAGCAGCCCTAATGGTACCAGAAGCCATAAAGATGAGGAGGGCTGCCCTTCTGCATCTCCTCTTTCATTTCTCCCCCTTCTTGTGATTATAAAATGCTAAGCTCTGCTGACCCTTTTTGGAGCGCATTTTTTTTTTTTTTTTTTGTCTTTTTTCCGTGTCCGGCAACGGATCGCAACCCTCAGTGTTGCCCCCGTACTGGACCGGGGACCGGCAACGGGATCACAAGCCTCGGTGTTGCTCCCGCGCCTCGCTCAGCCAGTGAGCGGGAGCCGGTCTGTATGTGGGATCCGAACCCTCGGACGGGAGCGCCGCCGCGCTTCCCAAGCGGCGCACTACCCAGTGCACCACCGGGCCGGCCCTGGAGCGCATTTTTAAGACTACCTGATCTATAGGTCACCCTGGTTGCAATCATTGTGTTGGCTCAATAAATCCTTGTTTTTATGTATTTGGCCTTAGTTCCCTATTAGTTTAACATGGGGAAAAATTATCTTTTTTATTAGTGTCACAGAACAAATAGAACTATGACTTAAATCACTCTAGTAGCTGATTTCATGTACTTTTCACAGTTCTAACATGTTTCTGACAATTAAAAACACCCCCCCCACCCACTTCCCGGGGAAGTTGGTAGAGGTGCATATAATGCTCTTTATTTTTCATTTCCCCACACCTTTGCCATGATTATGAATAGAGACCAGATCCTGAATACTAACTTGGTTAATTAATTAATAAGCCAATAAGCCTATGCACATGATTATGCTAATGCTACAAAACTAGTTTTGTTAACTCATCTAAAATGGAAACCCAAATACTTGCTTTCTGTGTACTCCACAGGGAGCTTTCAGTGTAGTCTGAAAAGTCTTCAGGAGCTCTTATGGATATTGAATTTGAGTTATGATCATTCCTCAGGCTTCTAGAATTAGCAAAATCCATCAAACATAGACATAAACCAGAGACTTTGGGCTCAGTTACAATCCTTGCCACCAAAGCATATGTGGTTTAGTTGCTCCATTTGTGTCCTTCCCAAGCTTATAGCATAAGGAACTGAATTAACACATAAGATGTACTTAGTTTCTCATTTACCCTGGCAGCCTTCAGCTTTTGCTGAAGGAGGCACCAGCTGAGACCATGAACACAGATGAGGTGGTGAGAGGTGCTGCTGGAGCAGAGAAAAAAGAAGTGACCTAGGGAAGACTCATTCCTACCCAGATGCAAACACAGCTCCACCCTTGTGTTGCATTGTAAAGGCCATACAGCTCCATAAACCTCAGTCGCTTTTGAAATTATAGGTGATGTTCTTCCTCAAAACACTGTTCTACATGAGCCTTTCACAAAGACAGGCAGCATGCCTTAGACACTTGAGATTTCTTTCAAAAGAAAAGAGTGGAAAAGGCCATTAGACTGATCACTTTCTTGTCATATAGACTAGTTCCCGAATTGTTTCAGTGAACACACCAAAAAGATGCTAAGGTCAAATAGATCTTCTGTTAATATTAAATGCCCCATTGGTGCCTTATAATACATGTTAGCAAATTAAAGGCTCTAAGAAGCACTAAAGCACACACACACAAAAAACTATTTAAATTTACCTCTAAGTTAAAGAGTTTTGTGAGAAGTCTTTTGGCTTTTTCCAAACTTCTCTTAGCCCCATAAGAGCATTTCTTTATTCCCAGTTTGAGAAGTACTTATATAGAAAATAATCTTTTCAATGTCAGAGTTCCTTTACGTGGTGAATGAATGTGAAGTTATTTTAAAATACTACAAGTATTTTAGTACTAGCAAATGTAAACTGATGTGATGGAAGTAGCAATAGGAGATAAAGCAAAAAACAGGAAGAAAGAGTAACATTTGTAGTGAATCCTGGGAAAAATACAGGAAAATCTAAGAAAGTAAACTGTGCAGAGATTTTGATGTGGGCTTTGGAGGAAAGACAGATACTGAGAGCTATGGCTCGAAGTTATAATGGGCAGTGCTGAGGGCCCTAAATCCTGGGTATGTGTAAGGAGCCCTGGGAAGCTGAGAAGATTAAGTACAGGATTATCAGGTGAACTTCTTTGGTTATAAGCAACAGAAACAGATTCTGCTATCTTCAGAAAAAAAGGGAGGCAAGAAATTTATTTAAAGTATGTAGATTAGTTTAATGGTCTTCAAAATGTCATATGCAGAGATATGCAAAGAGGTAAAAGTGCATGGGTATTTTTTTAAGGAATCAATTTTCTAATCTTCAACTTCCACATGAACTGTTTTCTAAAACTAATAATGTGCTTTCATTCCCAATCGTTCTTCTTCCACATTAAAAAAGGTATTGTCTTCACCCATCCCAAACACGTTGATTGTTTTATGTAAAACAAAAGAAAGATTTAAACTACATTTTAGTTCCCAGAAAGCTTCCTTTAAAGATTAAACAAAGGCATTCTGCCTCTTCCTGGCCAGAACATACGAGGGAACTTCAAAAAGCTCATGGAAAGAATTGTATTATCTTTTAATCGTATTTTTCCATGAACTTTTCGAAGTACCCTCATATTTCTGTTAAAGGTAAAGCTTGGCCCATACTGGAATGTTCTGAAATAAGAAAAACCAAAGCAGTAGAAGTTAATGGTGCTGCTTCTTTTACATGTAAATTGTAATGGGTCTATTAAATATTTAAATATGTGTTGGTTAAAAACTCACAGATAAAATTTTTACAAAACTTCTTCCAGATTCAAAGTGCCTTATTCAATAAATAGTTAAGACCTATTAAATTGTGTCATGAAATGTTTGTTTCACTTTGGAGTCCCTCATAGTGACTTGTCGGTAGCGACTCTTCAGCAGACCTGAATCGGGTGGATCGATCTCCAGCCATTTTCTTTCTCTGTTTCACTGCATTCAGAAATCCTATTCCAGGAAGAGAGATTCTGATTGGTTTATTTGGATTGTGTGCCAGTCGAGGGAGGATATTCCATCTTGATCGAATGACCCACCAAGACTATATCCAGTGGAAAAGAGATAAAGTAAAATTGGAGTATGGTTAGAGAAAGGGGAAATAAGTAATGGACAGGCATAAATCACAGATATCTCAATATAAGAGGTCATCAAAAAGTTTCCATGTCAAATACTGAAGTTACTCAGCATCCTGGGATCCATAACAGGATGCAGGAAATGGGAATTCACAGCTCAAGTCATAAAACCAGTAAATGAATATTAGGATGAAGAAGTAAGCACACACAAAAAGTCTATTATTTGCATATTATCTGCAACAAAGCAAAATATGTTTACAAGCACTTCCTTGGAACTGCACAGTAGGGCTACACTTAAAAGTTTCCAGGGAGTAAAGACAGTAAATGGAAATTAATCTTAGAGAAGCCCTTTTATACAGTATGTGAAATATCACCAATATTATCTTTAATTCATATGCAACTTTTTGTGGTTTTATTAACTTTCCTGACTTATAGGGAGAATCGTTGGCCATTGTTTAATTAATAAATCCTTGCTGAATATTACACTTAAAGAATATTACAGAGTTGCCTTAAGAGCAGTAACTGTTGTAAACCACTGTGCACTTGAGTATGTGTTTGCCACCCATAGCATCATAATATAAATGGTGTTTTGAGTCCCATGGGTTTTCTATCTTTGGATTTCAACCACTCAAGAGGATGGCAGCCTAACTAGTTGAGGAGCTCCCCAGGGCCTTCCAAAGTGAATTTCACATACTCTGTATGTCCTATATTTCAAGTCAGACTGTTCTAAGCATCAAACTAGGTGAAAATCTACCTAGCATGATACAGTAACAGACCGAAAGAACTTGATTTTACTTATATAGATTCACAACCTGTTCCTTACCCCCAACACCACCAAGTCCTCCAAAGCTCTAATTTGCAAAGTAGGTCTTAATGAATTTTCCCACATTGTTACTTCTGGAATATAACCTTTGAGGTTAGGATGGGAAGTTTTTTCTTCCCAGTTGATGTGTTAAAGCACATCACTGGAACTCAGCAGGAATGTGAACAGGACAACAGGGGATACAATGAAATCTCTAACAGGGAGTCGTGAGAGTTAGAAAACAGGAGCACTTGGGTGGCTAGATCATTATTCCTCTGTGGTCTCCTGTGTTCTTCCACCTCTGGGAATTTACTGGAAGCCGTTAGTCTATTTACTTCCCCATTGCTTGTTGCTTCCTTACGTGTTCAGCATATGGTTCTTTTACAGGAGGATGGACGGTATGAAGGCCCAACTTTGGCTCATGCTGTGGAGTTGTTTGGTGGCAGACGGTGGAGTACTCGGAACCCCAGTCCTGGGACATCAGCAAAGAATGCTGAGAAGCCCAATGTGCAGAGAAACAACACCTTGGGCATAAGCACCACCAAGAAAAAGAAGAAAATCCTCATGAGGGTAGAGTTTTATTTGTTTATTAAGCATCAAACCCAAATCTTCCAAGGTCATTGTATGGTCCACATCACCATAAACCAACCCTAGGTCATTTAGGTTGGGGACAAAATGAGGTATAAAACAAATGCTACAAGGGCTTATGGTACACCTCTTGGGAGCCAGGGCCAGCTTCAGGAACTGAATCAACATCAGGCAAAAGACAGGGTCCATAGATGGACACAGACATGTAAACAAGCACAGTGCAGTCTAAATAAGTCATTGCTGAGGGGGCTGAGGGCCTCGGCCACACCCCCCTGACACCTGCAGCCAGCCCAGTGTCAACCACCAAGCCGCAGCAAGAAGGGCCCTGGGTTCCCGAGCTGGGGTAGTAGGGGGTCGAGGGCTTTTGCCACACCCCTCTGACATCTGCACCCAGCCTGGCAATGACCAAGCCACCACTGGAAGCCCCCTGATCTCCCCTGTGGGAATGAGAGGGGTGCCACAGGCCTCAATCCTGCCCCTCCTCCTTCCTCCTTCTTCCATCCCATTTCCTTCCCCTCTCCCCCATTTCCAACTGCTCTGCCACAACATCCTAGAATGTAAAAGAACAATATCAATTAAATTAAAAAATAAATAAATAAAAATAAGTGGCATTGTCAAGACATCTGCAAAGTGCTATGGGAGCAGAGAGAATACAGGGCTGAGAGGCAGGCTGGGAAGGCTTCACAGAGCAGTTGACAAATGGGTCTTGATGGGGTATCAGGCAGACGACACAGGAGAAAGCATCTCCAGTCAAGGAGACGGCACGGAGGCACAAAAGACTTGGCTTGTTCAGGACTCCCCCATTTCCAACTGCTCTGCCACAACATCCTAGAATGTAAAAGAACAATATCAATTAAATTAAAAAATAAATAAATAAAAATAAGTGGCATTGTCAAGACATCTGCAAAGTGCTATGGGAGCAGAGAGAATACAGGGCTGAGAGGCAGGCTGGGAAGGCTTCACAGAGCAGTTGACAAATGGGTCTTGATGGGGTATCAGGCAGACGACACAGGAGAAAGCATCTCCAGTCAAGGAGACGGCACGGAGGCACAAAAGACTTGGCTTGTTCAGGAAAGAACATTTAGTTTTGGGTGACTCGACCGTAAGCTCTGTGGTATGCAAGGAAAGAACAGGGATCACATCGAGAAGGTCTTAAAAGGCCAAAATGCTACATATAGAAGACAATTTAAAATATATTATTAGCACTGTATATCCTAAATTGTATTATATAATATGTACTGTCACCATAACATAATATACTTGCTTTATGGCTGTCTAGAAAAAGTCTCACTCTTGACATATGGGAGGCTGTTAATGCTAAAGTCGAACTTTATCTGCTTTGCAATTCTTCTGAACACAGAGTCCAGGGGCTGTGTGCCTCCCCCTGTCCGCCTCCTTCCCCAGACGTCTGCGGCTGTGTAGTGAGGCCACGGAGATAGTGTAATGTGAGAGTGCTTGGTCAGCTTTACTAGGTCTTTACTGGTTCACCAGGTGGGAACAGTATTTAAGGAAGTATCGAAGGGCAGGTTAGAAAATGGAGACCTGCCTGCACTAAAGCAGTGATGGGAGAAGAGCAGGAGCTGGGAAGCATCACATGTTCTGTGTTCCCAGGGTGAGAGTGGAGAGGCGACTGACGACGAGATGGTGACACGGAAGGGCAAAATTTACAAAGAGTGTCGTGGCCGGAGTGGTTCCGATCCTCAAGATATTAACGAACAAGAAGAAGCAGGTAAAGCAACATGTGCACGTGTGAGATTTTTAATTTTATGGGAAAAAAACATACATTTGGCTTTAAATTGTGATTTAAGTGTTGCAGACATTTGTAACAAAATTCTTTCGTTAACATACTTACCTTTGTTTTTAACCAGATGAAACTTGAGGTATTTCTGCAAGCATAGTGTGCTTGGAAGAAACTTCTCATTAATTAATTTGCCATAATTGACAGGGAATATTAGATGTACAAGGTGCAATTTCGTGGATTAGACTGGTGATTCTCAACCCTGGCTGGATATTAGAGATTTAAAAAATATCTGGATGCCCTGGCCACACCCCAGACCAACTGATTCAGGTATTCTCTGTCTGGGACCTGTATATCTACATATTTTTTAAGCTCCCCAAATGATTCTAATGTGCAACCAGTTGAGAACTCACCAGATTAGTACTTTCATAAAAATATTTTGATGCTTATTCTATAGAAATCAGCTGCATAGATTGGCTTGCTCGGACACCCAGAAGCATCTGTGATTTGTATCTGATTTCTGAGGGAAAGTGTAATCTGAGTCTTTATCTCTTTTCTGTCTTTCATCCTCACAGAGGCGAATGCCACCACTAGCCCTCCTAACCCCCTTCCTTCCAGAAGAGCCCACTCTTTGACCACGGCTGGCTCCCCCACCTTGGCTGCCGGGACGTCATCTCCCATCAGGCCAATGTCCTCCCCTGTGCTGTCTTCTTCAAACAAAAGCCCGTCCAGGTGGGGCCTTAAACATAATAAAATAGGAGGACCTTTCACATCATTGCATTTGTGTGCAAGGGCATATTCTTCTAGTTGTCTATGGAAGGACTGTCTTGAATTTTGACTTACAGCTAAACTGAAAACTGAACAACCCCCAATTTTTTAAATGATTCTAATTTTCTTGATTTTATACTCCTACCTTCTCATATTACTATAATTGCTCCTAATTATTTCAGAGACCAACCCTTCAAAGGTCAGTAGCAGTAACAAAATTCTCTAAATCCGCACTGCCTAATATGGTAGCCACTAGCCACATGTGGGTATGTAAATTTAAATATGAACTCATTAACAATAATAAAATTTAAAATTCAGTTCCTCAGTCATAGTAGCCTCATCTCAAGTGCTTCATAGCCACAAGTAGCAAATGGTTATTTTACTGAACAGTGCAGATGTAGAACAGTTTTATCATTACAAAAAGTTCAATGGGATAGCACTGTTCTAAATGAAGAATAAATTTTTAATGTAAGCTACTTGACCCTTTGCTAGTTGGTGAAATATATTTAATACTTTTCTCATATATAAGTTATACATGTCTGAAGCAATGAATGTGACTATTGCAGTAAGTTGGATATGTTTAGATATAATTCTAAAGCTGATATTATAGTAAATTATTTTATAAGATCCATGCAAATTACAGTTATGAAACAACATCTACCCTCTCAGGAGAAGAAATAGTATTAAAATAAAAGCATTCCGGAGGAAACCAGAACACCACTCCATCTCTCTGTACCCCACACTAAAGTTTAAGAAATGCGAAGGTTCCAGACAGAACCAAGATGAAGCAGGCACTCTTCACTTTATCAACAGAGGAGCAGGAGGAGGAACCGGGTCTGAGCAGACATTGGCTTTGGAAACGTCAATTTCCCCCCCCCCCACACACAATTTCTCTCTCTCTCTCTCTCTCTCTAAGCAGCTCACTATTGATAAGAACCCTACAGTAAACTATTTTTTAAAGGGAAGAATTCTTTCACAGTGTGAGTAATGAACTGATAATTTATGCTTCATTCATTCAGATTCAGTTGGTGAAAATGGGTCAAGGATATATGAGAATTCTTTGTTCCACTCTTGCTTACTTTTCTGTAAGTTTGAATTCATAACAAAACTAAAAGTTACAGGGGCTGGCCAGTTAGCTCAGTTGGTTAGAGTGTGGTGTTATAACACCAAGGTCAAGGGTTCAGATCCCCGTACAGCTGCTTAAAAAAAAAAAAACACTCTGAAGGACAACTAAAAGTTACAAAGATCATAATTCTTTCCATTATATTTTCAGCCTACACAGTATCCTGGTTAAATAAAATAGCCAGATAACATGGATTAACTGGTTTTTCCCTTTATTTCGGTCACTCATGAGCAGGAAAAAGAAGGACAGAGAAAAAGAGGAAAATCTTTTAAAAAGAGAAACTAACATGCCGGACACAAGATTCAAGGGCCCAACCACAAGACACCAGGTGTCAGTGCTCACTCAAGTATGCTAAAACGGAAAGAAAAGACAGGCGGGAGAAGAACAGTCAGTCCAAATGCTGTTAAAGGAGAAAGCAGGACTGAGTCCTAAGTCCAGTAGAGGAAGGAATAGGCAGATAGTTTCCTATAGACAGTAGCTGGGCCTGCAACTAGAAGCAAGGAAGACAGGGATTTACTTATTTAAATGCAAATAAGGAAGCCACCTTTTTCCTCTTCCTGAACCTCCGCCCTCTGTTTCCCACAGCACATTGGGGAATAACAACCTACAACCCATGCCTCCGCACTAGTATAAATCCATCCATTTGTAATACTCTTCCTTGATGGAGGTGACCTTCAGATGTCAACACAAGATAATTTTCCTGAGTGAACATTATTAGCAGGACAGAGAGTAGACTGGCTATTCATTATAATATTCTCAATACTTTGTTATAATATTTAAAATATTTGAAAAAAAAATTTAGGGGCCGGCCCGGTGGCGCACTGCTATAGTGCGCCGCTTGGGAAGCGCGGCGGCACTCCCACCGAGGGGTCGGATCCCACATACAGACTGGTTCCCGCTCACTGGCTGAGCGAGGCGCGGGAGCAACACCGAGGGTTGCGATCCCGTTGCCGGTCCCGGTCCGGTACGGGGGCGACACTGAGGGTTGCGATCCGTTGCCGGACATGGAAAAAGACAAAAAAAAAAAAAAGAAAGAAAAGAAAAAAAAATTTAATTCAAGACGAAAAAAGAGAGAAAAAGAAAGCTCCCATTCATTGATTTTACTAAAAACCATAGTCAAAACATTTCTCATACTCTTCTGTCAGGAAATCTGTATAGAAAATAAAATATGTTACGTAGAACTCAAGCAATTATACAGTAAAAAAATAAATGACCCAATTAAAAAATGGGCAAAGGAGCTGAATAGACATTTTTCAAAGGAAGACATACAAATGGCCAACAGATACATGAAAACATGCTCAACATCGCTAGTCACCAGGGAAATACAAATTAAAACCACATTGAGATACCACCTCACTCCAGTTAGGCTGACTATAATCAAAAAGACAGTGAATAACAAATGCTGGTGAGGGCGTGGAGAGAAGGGAACACTCCTGCACTGTTGGTGGGACTGTAAGTTAGTACAACCACTATGGAAAACAATATGCAGGTTTCTCAAACAACTACAGATAGATCTTCCATATGATCCAGCAATCCCTCTTCTGGGTATATACCGAGAGGAATGGAAATCATCATGTCGAAGAGATACCTGCACTCCCATGTTTATTGCAGCTCTGCTTACAATAGCCAAGATATGGAACCAACCTAAATGTTCATCAATAGATGAGTGGATAAGGAAACTGTGGTATATATACACTATGGAATACTACTCTGCCATAAAAAAGAATGAAATACTCCCATTTGCAACAACATGGATGAATGTGGAGAAACTTATGTTGAGCAAAACAAGCAAAGCACAGAGGGATAAAACACCGTGTGTGCTCACTTATAGGTGGGAGCTAAGAGAGAAAGGAAGGCAGGAAAGAAAGGCCACAGTAGTGCCGTGATCCAACAGAGGGAGGGAGCATTCCTAGGGCTACAAATTGGAGTTGGGGGGAGAGGGGGAAGGGGAGAGTGATTGGGGAATAACTGGGAGGGGACAAAGGGTACAAAAGTAATTTCTGGTAATGAGTACGCCCCCAGTATGAATCGGGCCCCCACATCATGGACAGGAGGGGGGACAATCAGCTTTGTATCTCATGAATATTTGTAATAAATACGAAAATATGTTGTGAAACAGTGAGACTGAATTTTTGAACAAGTTGACTGGTATTTTTATGTTGAGTGGATGCAGCCTTGGCAGGTGCAAATATAAATAAATGTAGGCAGAGTTGGCTTCTTTTCATTCTTAATATTTTTTTGGCTCACATTTCCTTTAATATTAAAAGCTCTTCCTTGTTTTCATCTAAGAGCTGGTTAAGAAAGGAAAAAGAAAAGACACTGACACACTCAAAACTTTCTTCTTAAATTTGTTTCTTGTAATTCAGAATATAGAGAAGTATGTGCATTATTTCCTATAGATTATAACTGAGCAATTTTGTACTTTTTAAAAAGACTTTTCTTCAGAAACACTGAACTACTGACACACTCAAAACTTTCTTCTTAAATTTGTTTCTTGTAATTCAGAATATAGAGAAGTATGTGCATTATTTCCTAATAGATTATAACTGAGCAATTTTGTACTTTTTAAAAAGACTTTTCTTCAGAAACACTGAACTTATGATTTTTTCCCCCGTTGATCTTTGATTGCAAATAACTATTTTGATTAGGAGAAGATTAACCTCAGCCTTATGCCCTTATTGAATAGGCTGGAAACATGAAGTGGTTTCAGTATATGTGTTTTATTTCCTCTGACATGATTTAGATTAACTTTAAGAGAAGTGAAAGGACAGTATGGGAAAATAGCTTCAACCTTAAATGACTTGGCAATCCATCTTTTTGCTCATATTAGTCAGAGAATGTCTGTTGGGGCAGAGTGACAAAAGCAGTCCACCGTTTTGCCCATGAATGCCATGTCTTTGTTGCAGTGCTTGGAGCAGCAGCAGCTGGCACGGGAGGATCAAAGGAGGAATGAAGGGATTTCAGAGCTTCATGGTTTCAGATAGTAACATGAGTTATGTTGAATTTGTTGAGCTGTTCAAATCATTCAGGTATGGTATATGCTTCCTTCTTACTCTTTTCCAGGCTCACATTTTTATAGCCATACTAAATGACGTGTTTTCTATCCCTCATTCAGCGTAAGGAGCCGCAAGGACTTGAAGGATCTCTTTGACATCTACGCCGTGCCCTGCAACCGATTTGGCTCCGAGTCGGCCCCACTCTACACCAACCTGACAATTGATGAAAACACCAGTGATCTTCAGCCTGACCTAGGTATGATTAACATTTTAAGATTTCCCTTGGAACCCTTTCTGTCTATAACTGAAGGTCAGAGATCCAGTCGTACAAACTCTCAGCCTGTCTCACATGGCATGCTGTTACCTGGAGCATGGTAAAACTCATAGAGAATTATTTCAGGGTGTCATCTAGTGTGATGGGGGCGGGTGCTATTGTATTGGCCTTTTGGGCAAGGAAATTCATTATTGTGTGGTTCTGCCCATGTATTCCAGGATATTTAACCAATAGTGCTTTCCAGTCATTCTGACAGCCAAAAACTTTTTCCTGACCATTTCCAAATGTCCACTAGGCATGTTACAGTTCAGAGCCACCAGCCTCTTCCCTATCTACAGACTCAGTCCCAGGGCAGTAGTTATCTGCTCTTTGATAAGGAGAGTCTATAGTGACTTCAGCAAAGTACTCCTGTCTGAACATCCAAGACGTTTTTCCTACTATGCAAACCAGAATGTCTCATTCTTCTATCTCACTCGTCACCACCACACTTACCGTCACTGCCCATGCATATTTTAACCACACGTGCATTTTAAGCCTATTATTTTTTTCTTCTTTTCTTGCTGGAAACTATAAAAACAAAAAACTTTCCTCTTTCTTACAGTTGCTTCATAATTATTTCTAAGTTTATGTTGTCCTTAAGCTAAAAATATTAACTATTGTTCAACTATAATCATAAAATATGCCTAACTGTGGATTAGTCAAGTAGTTACACTTTTAAAAAATTATTAGACTTTATTTTTTAGAGCAATTTTAGATTTACAAAAAAATGAGCAAAAAGTAGAGTTTGCATATACCCTCTCCCCCTGCACACAGACTTTCTTCTATTCGTCATATCTTGCATTAATGTCATACATTTGTTACAATTGAGTCAATATTGATACATTATTATTAACTAAAGCCCATAGTTTACATTAGGGTTCCCTTTTTGTGTTGTGCATTTTATGGGTTTTAACAAATACTTAATAACCCATATCCACCATAACAGCATCATTCAGAATAGTCTCACTGCTCTGAAAATCCCCTGTGCTCCGCCTTTTTATTGCTCCCTTCCTCCCTCTGAATTCCTCACGACCACTGATCTTTTTACTGTCTCCATATTTCTGCCTTTTCCCCAATGTCATATAGTTGGAATCCTACTACTATAGCCTTTTCAGCTTAGCAATATCCATGCAGCTAGATAGCTCGTTTATTTTTGTACTGAATAATATTCCATTGTCTGGATGTATCACAACTTCTTTATCCACTCAGCTACTGAAGGACATCATGGTTGCTTCCAAGTTTCAGCAATTATGAATAAAGCTGCTAAAAACACTTGTGTGCTGGCTTTTGTGTGGACATAAGTTTTCCACTCATTTGGGTAAATACCTAGGAGTTCAAATGCTACATCATATGGTAAGCCTGCTTAGTAAGAAACTGCCAGATTGTCTTCCAAAAGTGGCTAAAATTAAAATGACTGGCCATACCAAAGTTGGTGTGAATGTGGGGCAACTGGTGCATTGGAGTATTGCTGACAGGAATGTAAAATAGTACAGCCACTTTGGAAGACAGTATGGCAGTTTCTTACTAAACTAAATGTACTGTTTTTATATAATCCAGCAAACGTGCTCCTTGGTATTTATCCAAATGAGTTGAAAAACCTACACACAGATGTTTATAGTTACATTAATTTATAGTACTATAGTTCATAGTACAGAAAAATGGTGATTTTAAGGGTACATTTTTAGTCTCTCAAACATAAAAATGTAGAAGTAATTATTCCCAAAAACCAGAGTTCAAGTTTGGCCTCCAGTCCCAGTTGAATCTACATTTAGTTCCCATCTAATATTGAAGCTCATAGGATTTGAAGATCATCGACCTAGGTCTATCATAGTTTCTTTTATTTATTCATTGACTCAGTTTTTATGCCCTTCACTCTGTGAAGCCAGGAATAAGCAGTGAGTTGATGGCTTGTTTAGATAGATTCGTAGAGAGCTTCTCCGCTTTAATAATTCCACAACACCATTATCTCCAAAATGAAATTCGTGAAACATGCTGGCTACTTGTCTATGTTCTGCGGGTGGCTCTATTTCAGATTTGTTGACCAGAAATGTCTCGGATTTGGGGTTGTTCATTAAGAGTAAACAGCAGCTCTCAGACAACCAGAGGCAGATATCTGATGCCATTGCTGCTGCAAGTATCGTGACAAATGGCACTGGGATTGAGAGCACATCCCTGGGCATATTTGGTGTTGGCATCCTCCAGCTCAATGATTTCCTGGTGAATTGCCAAGGAGAACACTACACTTATGATGAAATCCTCAGCATCATCCAGGTTTGTGACCATTTTGTGTGTGCACATGTGTGTAATGCCTCTGACTAGTCTAATAATTAGCTGCTAAATATTTACTCTTTCTATACTTCTTTCCAAAACCTTCAAGTCTGGGGCAGAAATAGAGGTGGGGTTTTTTTGTTTGTTTGTTTGTTTTGGTTTTTTAATACCAAGTATGTAAGTCATCTTGTTTAATATATAATCAACATAGGTCCCAGGCCTTCTCTGACTCAGTGATACTATAAGGAATCAGTGCATAATTCCTTCTCGTTATTCTAGCACATACGATAGAGTAGTCTGGGTTTTTAACCTCTTTTTTAGTTTAACAAGTATTTATTAGCTCCTACTATGCTGGCCCTGTTCTGGGAGCTGGAAATACAGGAGTAAATAAGATAAAGGTTCTGTCTCTCAAAGCAGCTTACATTCTAGTAAGTGGGGCAGACAATAAACACAAAAAGATACAATGTAATTTCAGGTAATAATGGATTATAGAAAAAAATCGAGCAGAGTGAGGGGATGGAGTGATGCAAAAGGGTTGAGGAGAGTGAGCAAAGGCCATTTTGAAGAGGTGGCATTTGTCTTGAGCCCTAAATGAATAAGCCAAGTGAAGGTCTGAAAAACAGGGAGCAGCAAGCTCAAAGATCAAGGCATGAGTGAGCTCGGGGGTTATGAGGAGCAACCGAAAAACTGGCATAATGGGAGCTGCATAAGCCAGGCAGAGAATGGCAGACATGATTTCTGATAGGTGTGCAGGACCTGAATCATCTCAGCCTTTTAGATCATGGTGAGTTGGTTGATTTTAGTCCATGTGAAATGGGAAACCATTGGAAATTTTCAAGTGGGAGAGTAATGTGATTTGATTTTTTTTTTTTTTTTGATGGGGGTGGTGGTGGAGGGGTGTGGCTGGATGGTGCAGGGATTGAACCCTAGACCTTGGTGTTATCAGCTCTTACCATCTGAGCTAACTGGCCAGCCAATTTATGTTTTTAAGAGGTCACTCTGGCCCTATTGGAGCATAAACCATGCTAGTGAAGGAGTGGAAATAGACTGGTTAGGCTACCACAGTAACCTAAGCAAGACATGGTGATGGTTTAGAATGAAGGGTGGTAGGAGATAGGGGTGGTGAGACCCCTTGGTGTGGCTGCATCACATATAATGGAATTAGTCTAGGTTTTCAATCTTCTTTATCACCTGACTGGGAACCAGTGGATTGGCTGTCCAGCTGTTGGATTTGATCACTAAAAATGCAAGATTATTACTACACTGTTGAGTGCTTACTGTGATATCGAATACAGGCACGAACTAAGTGCTCTATGTGAGTCATCTCATTTCCCCTCCCACCACCTCTATGGTAGGTGCTGGATAAACTGATCCATTTTGTTTTCATATAAATCAGCCTTATTCTTTTCTCTTGCTCCTTTTTTTTTTCCCTCTTACACAAATATGCTTCGTATAATAAACTCACACATAATAAATGTTTTCTTTTGGACTAAAAACTACATCTTACCACGACACTACTAAATTAGTTCAAATATTTGGTTTAGATGTTTCCTGATGAAAACAGAACAGCTTTTAAAAATGATGTGAAAAAAAAATGACGTGGTGTTTTTTCCCCTCTTAGTTTCCTTTACCTAAATGATGCTTTTTTTGTACCCTTGCAGAAATTTGAGCCTAGCATCAGTATGTGTCATCAGGGCTTAATGTCATTTGAAGGATTTGCAAGGTAACTTTTAAAATATCTTTTGTTCATTGCTGTAGAGTATACATTTTTCCCATGTAGTCTTAAGAAAATTTGTTTCATCCAGGTTTCTGATGGATAAAGATAATTTTGCCTCGAAAAATGATGAGTCACAGGAGAACATTAAAGAACTGCAGCTACCCCTGTCCTACTATTACATTGAATCTTCACACAATACCTACCTCACGGGCCATCAGCTCAAAGGAGAATCCTCAGTAGAACTCTACAGTCAGGTACTGAGATGCCACTTGGAATGTGGTTTTCATTAAACCTCATTATTTACATAACTCCCAAAGTCACAAAAACCTGACCCCAGACTCCTTTGAAGAGTTTATTGAATAAACTATTACATGTGAAATGTGAGGAACCGTGATGTGTGGGAAAACTGGCTATACATACAGCAGTTGTTTTTTTTACTTCTTTTTGTTTTGTTTTCCTCCCATCTATACTTAACCTTTATTCTAGGCACACACACAAAAAAGTATTTGTTTGACACTCATAGCTTTTAGATCCTAGTGAGTCTGACCTCCTCCTACTAAAATTAGATTTTCCCATGGGAAAATTATCTAATCATTTCACTAAATGCTAAGTAAATCAATATATTATAATGGGAAAGTATAGTAGAAAATGCAACTTTCTACAGATTTATTCCCAAAATATTGTTTTTTTGCTTTGTAATTTGTTAAACAATCGATTCCTCCCTATGGTAACCAACTTTAAAAAATCTGCACAGAGTGTAGGCACTGACCCTACACACTTAAGTTTATGAGAATGTTCTTTGAAACTCATTAAGCGCTCTGGACAGAAAAAGCACATTCTTTTAACCTAAACATCCAACTTCCAACGATCAGCCTGTCTGTGGCCTCTCTGTTATATTGCTTGCAACTTCCTTATCTGTGCTGTTTCCTGAACTCCTCCAAGAAAGGTTAATCAGGAAGGAGCTAAGCTAGGTCCAGGGAGCGTGTGGTTGTGTGCGTGTGGGTTGCATTGTCTATACAACTACAGTAGCAACAAAGTTCCGTTCTCCAAATTAGTCCAAATATTTCTCAAAGCATGGGGCAAATTTTTGTCCTAAAGCTTAGTTAGCATGGAATATGTATTTTAAACTCTGTTTTCTAAGGGATCTTTATTATGAAATGAAGATGTGTCCTTAGAGTAGTGATTTTCAAAGGCCCGAAGAGGCCTCAAGCCTCTGACACTGAGATGAGCAAGAATCAGAGTGGGAAGGGTCTCGTACCCTGGCCCACTTCAGCTGTAGTGCTACTCTTTTACAACGTTACATATTGGCCTTCCATTTGCACAGAGAATTCAAAAGTTAAAAGAAGTTTGAAACACATTGTTCCATGAGAAAGAAATCAAGTGTGATTTTTCTATATATATGAAAATGTATATATACACACTTACAGTTATATACATACCCATGTACATATACACATATGTACATACACATATATGTACATACATACATTATCTATGTATATACATGTGTGTGTGTACCTTTCGCAGGAAAATAAGTAAGGACCAACCAGTGTCCTAGCTTTAATTTCTACTTCACTTCCCTGTTTGACTTTAAAGAGTTTTTAAACTCTTTAACATTCCACCCCAAGTAGAAATTATCACGTCTTTTGATTAAGGCCCAAGAACCCCTCAAATAGACTCACAGATGTGATCCAACCCCTTTGACTTCATTTCTGACCACTCTCCACTCTCCCTTGGCCCTCCTAATTACCTTCTAACATTTCTCTGTAGGCAGATGGAAAGATGCCCTGTTCTTCTCACCTGGAATTTCCGGCCCTGGTTTTCCTTTTCTAGCCATATATGGAGGTCTTAAGGTCATGCAGACTTTGGTAAACAGCTTTAGTCTTTTCATGCTGAAAAACTATCTAATCTGTTGCCAGTTGCTTAGCATCCTTTCCAGTCTGGCAGGCTCACCTCAGAGATGAAACAGCTTTGTGTTCTAGCTGCCACATTACACAGAAATCTTCAGCCCAAGGCAGTATATCTCTAAACACTCTAGCTGCTGAAAGAAGCTGATAGCCTTGGTATTTTAGGCCACAGACTATGCTAAAGAAACTATGTAATGGGAAGAATCTAGCAAGTATCTCATACAAAAATGTTAATAAGAGGCATTCCACTATTTGAGTTTTGTTGCAGAAACTTTATTGACCACTAAAGCCCAGTAATGGATTGCTGTCACATGGAAACAGTTATGTGGATTCTTAAATCAGTGGGTTAGCACATTAACAGATATACCAACCTCTTGGCTTGGGTTACCTTTCCATTATGTGATAATCTTTTAAGGTAGTCTACAGATAGAGTCTGTAGAGAAAGAGGTTGCTCCAAGCAAACATTATAGAGCCACAACCTGAGCACATGTGTCAGGAGCTCTGCTCCCAGCTTCAGATCCAGGAGAGAAAATGGGTATCATCTTGTCTGATTCATTGGTAGTATTTCCTGGAGTACTTTGCTGAAGAGGTTGTGAGCTAACATATTAAAGCTTAGGGGGCAAATGTGCTGTGTGATTGATTATTGATGTCTGCTGTGGGTATGGGAGAGGGGAGTTTATGGATTATTTGCCATCTCTGCTCTAGAAGTTGTCTGGGATTAGACAGTCAGGCAAATCTGATAACTCCTACTCTTCTTACATGCTACATGTTCATAGCAAAGATGTTTACTCTTGGCTGAATTTAGGTCTTAATGGAGGTGATTTTATCCTGATTGGCTTCATATAAATGTTTAGTCAATTCATTAAGGAATCAGTGGCCTTATTTCCTCTGTGCTGTGGCTTAGCACCTTCACTCCACTGACATCTACCCAGGTAGAGACTTACTTGGCTCTCTAATTTTAAGATGTGCCATTTCCAGGGATCAAAGTTGCTGGGAAAATGGTCATATGTTTTTGCTGTCAAATTTTACCTTCCAGCTATATTCAGCTCTGGTAAACACTCTTTCTACCTTAATCTCCACCCCAAAATAATTGTGATGTTTGGCCAAAATGCAGTATTTATTTTAGATGCCCTTCTGCTTGAGCTCTGAATGTGAATACTATGTGAGTTCTGCTATGTAGAACTGTGTGCTGGGTTTAGTTTGAGGCTTCATCTCCAGGTGCTCATCTGGGCTGGATTCATTCATTGATCACACAGGTCCTCTTGCAAGGATGTCGGAGCGTAGAGTTGGACTGCTGGGATGGAGATGATGGAATGCCCATCATTTATCATGGACATACACTGACAACCAAGATCCCCTTCAAGGTAATGCTTCATAACTTTCTTTAAATGAAATCTCACAAAGAGACGTTATCTTTGCTTATTTAAATCAGTGACTACCAAATCATACCTTATGTCAAGGGTTCTTATGCTGGATCTGAATGAAGACTTCCCACAAGAGTCTGCAGTATTGTGTGGGGTGTGCACATGTTCATTTTTCTGGGAGCTGATCTAGAACTCTCACTAAATTCTCATTCAACCAAAATTTAGTAATCATTACCTTACCATGTAATAATATTGTTGCAGTTTTTACACAATATGATACATAAAATCAGGGACCGTTCTTTTGCTATAGGAGTTAAAGGTCATTTGTCCTGGTATCGTGCTGACAAAGGCCAACATCTTGTGTTAGGAGATGATTAAATAGTAAACATTATAAAGTAGTGAGACTTAGTTCCACCTGGGAAGATTGGTCACCCAGGAAGACTTGTCTCACTGGATTGTTTTTTCAAATTCTGAGTAGCTTATTAGTTCAGTTGTACAATTTCTATTTGTATTCAGAGGGTCTCAGACTGTGTAACATCATTTTTCTCTGAACTCTGACAGGGCTGGGAAGGAATATTATTATTTTCATCTTATATATGGAATAGTGGCTAAAATATATTTTCTCTTTAACTCATTTTCCTATTCAGCACTCTTAAAACTCTTGTACTCTATATTGGTGGGAGGATGACTTGATAACTGTGTTTATATACACACATAAATAGATGTGTGCTACGTGCATTATTGCCCCAAATAAATTATAAACTCCTTGAAAGCAGGAAAGTTTCTTATGTCTCATTAAGTTTGATGCTGTAACTAAAATGGTATCTTTTACCTACAATATACTCTTTCTATATATACTCTTTCTGTTCTTTTTAAATTAAATTCAGCATTGTGATAGTTGTTATTTACAGTGTGTGAACAAGACTCAGTATGAACAGTTTATGTCTTTGTACAAAACAGCTTTATCCTCTTTCTTAATTTGAAAATACATTTGAAAAGATACAAACCACCTTTGGCCAGAGTCGGCTGCATGCAGCAATTGCGAAGCTTTCTGTGGGTTCAAGTGCCTTGCCTTCTGAGCACCCAGGACAGATGTCTGGACTCTAATGAGCTGTTTTGGCTCTCACAGGAAGTGGTCGAAGCTATTGATCGCAGTGCTTTCATCACCTCGGAACTTCCCATCATCATATCAATTGAGAACCACTGTTCATTGCCTCAGCAACGAAAAATGGCAGAAATTTTCAAGGTCAGCTCTCAGCTAAGAGGCAGGATGCTATCTTGGCCCTTGTCTTACAATCGACATTGAGTTTCGTATGGGGCCACTTTGGACCACACCACAACTGGACCTCGGCAGTGAAGTACATGCAGTTAAACCTGAGAAATGGGGCTGCCCTGGGAGCTTGGGCCCTCTCTTGAATGGTCCCTCTTTTCAGCTGGAGTGATAGAAGCAGTGTTTTCTGGTCTCCTGACTCTTTCCCAAAAGACTTAGGAAATAAGGATAGGCCAGCTCTCCAGCACTTCTGGTACTACAAGTCAGGGATGTCAGATGTCACCTGTCAGTTGTATGTGGAAAAGCTGAGAACATCTAGGGCAAGTGAGTCAAATCTTCTCGTGGCCACACTCCAGTATGGGGATCCAAGTCAGCAAAGAGCTTACTTGCCAGAGCAGTTGCTACGTAACAGTCAGCCCTTCCTTATACAAGGGAAATAATGCAGGCAGATTTAGGAGCAGATATTCCATTACGGTTCCCCCTTCCTCCAAGGGTGGAAGCATTCAGGGAAACATGGCTCTCAGTTGGAAAGAGGGACACTGATGGAGAGAAATGTCCCAAATACTAATGCCAACAAAACAAATTAGCTTTTCATAGTGCCTTGGCCTAAGCTTTGATTTTTGTTCTTTTTTAATTAAAAGTATCTAGAAATAGAAATTGCCATATTTTCTACCCTTGGATCGCCCTGTGTCTACTGTCCCTTCACCCACCTCCTTGAGAAACACACATTCTGTTTTAGAGACCAGAGTTCAAAATCTTTGTGAGGATGATGTTTGTGCTTCCTTATACTAGGTGGGGACAAATTCTCCCTAATGTCTTTCAATCTGTGTTCCCGCTCCCTACCCGCTCCAAGGTTTTTATCCTTTTGACATCTTATTGTCATCCAGAACAGACCATCTTCTGCAAACCACAGCCTCTAACTGAATCTCTCTTTTCTTCTTCAGTACATTAGACTCCAGAACATTTTCCTAAATAGTTAGAGCTGGCTCCAGCTGCAGAGGGTTACATCTCTTCCTGTCCTTCTAAACACCTTCCTTCCCTCCAGTAAGAAACTGTGACAGAGGGAAAAAACAACTTCCTTCCTAGTTCGTCTTCCTAGGATTTTAAAAACAATTCAATGAGGCTGAAATATCTAGTATATTTATGAAATATAAATATTTATCAAATATAGATAAAAGGCACTGACGGTGTGTTTTCCTTTATTCTTTTTAGACTGTGTTTGGAGAAAAGCTGGTGGCTAAGTGAGGCTGAAATATCTAGTATATTTATGAAATATAAATATTTATCAAATATAGATAAAAGTCACTGACGGTGTGTTTTCCTTTATTCTTTTTAGACTGTGTTTGGAGAAAAGCTGGTGGCTAAATTCCTATTTGAAACAGATTTCTCAGACGATCCAATGCTTCCCTCACCTGACCAACTTAGGAGGAAAGTGCTTCTTAAAAACAAGAAGCTAAAAGCCCATCAGACACCTGTGGACATCTTAAAGCAAAAGGTACTCCCCTGCTATACACGTTATGAATATGCTGTGAGCTTAGGGCAAAGAAACCAATGTCATTCTGACCCTTCAGATGACTTTCTGGGTAACCAGTGTTTGAAAATTGAGTTTCCTTAAATGATATATTTGATTTTTTGGTTTTCCATTTCATAGGCTAATAAATTCTCTCATCCCACTCACCTACAATTTTGCTTTGTGGAATTGTTCCCACATAGAACATACCTCCATTATTTAATTTATTCTGAGTGGGGTGATGTGTGACTCCTGTCTCTGAAACTGGGCTTCAGGGTTGTCAGTCCCACAGTGGTTGCTTTAGTCCTCTTTGGGAGAGTCCCCTCTAGGAAGAGCACTTGTGCATGGGGTCTGTAGTGGCATCCCAGTAGTGGCAGCCCTGCGATCTCCTGCATCTCTGCAGCACGCTGACCCCAAGGTGCTTCTACTGCCTTCTCACCCATGGAGATCTGGTGCCCAAGCACCCCAGACCTGCCTGTGTAGCAGGCCCTCAACCCAAGAATCTGTGAAAACGTTCAGGTCCAGGACACTGAGTTCATATGCCAGACTGCCCCTACTTATCCCATAGAATGACAGCTGCCAGAACTATCTGTCCTATTTAGGAGGGCACTGTTGGCCCTAAGGCATTACTTTTGAAATGTATAGCAACCAGGAGTTGCAGCATGAGCGTCTGCACTACGCAGGGGCAGAATGCTGCAGCACCAGGGGCAGCACAGGCCAGAGCTAAAACTAGGACATAGCCTAGAGCTTTTTGTTTTCTCTGGGCCATCACCTCCAAGCCTCCTGGCCCTATTCCAGTCCTGCGATTTCCGGAGAACAAAGAATTCAGCCCAAGGTTTCTAATAACCCAACAAATGTGGAGACATTGTCCTAGGTCATTGATAAAAAGTGCCAAGTAGAACTGGGTCAAGTGTTTAGTTTGATTTAGTTGAATAGTCAATTTGTAACAATCATCAAGCCTTTTCAAAGCTTTAATTTATAAAACTCACAGTCAGGGCCTGAGTTTAAAGCCTGAATGATATGCAGCATGATGTTGGGAAAAAGACTTAGGCAGGAGCTAAAATAGCAGGTTCCAGCCTCTGGCTGTGCTGCAAACAGCCGTGTGAGCATGGACCAGTCAATCTTTCTGGGCTTCTTCATCTGTAAAATGGGAATGTTAAGGTAACTGGCCCCAAAGGACACTTCTGACACTAAAATCTCACAAAACCTCTCCCAAGGTAAATCATGGGCCCCCTGTCAGAATTGCAGACCACACTGTAGACATTTTATTATCCCACATCTCAGTCTCAATTTCCAGTGTTTCTTGTTATTCTAGAACATTACTGTCCTCTCTGAGGGGGTTCCTGGAGCATCCCATTATCTGCTGTTCCAGTAAATACCATGGAGTTCCCAGATTGTCCAACTCACCCACAGAGGAAGCCCGGGTAGCCCAAAGTCCAGGCTGAGTTAGGGTGTTGTGTTACATCAGCTACTGAGCTACAGAATCCCAGATTGTTCCAGATGCACTCACAGTGGGGAAGGGAGAAGGGGAGGCCAGAGGCTCCACCGTCTTTAAACTTATCCTTCTGGGCAGAAAGGTAGTACTTTCAGAAAGGCTCCAAACCAATGCAGCCTAACCGATCTCTACTGATCAGGTTTGCCTTAACTGGAGTGGCTTAGGACTATCATGGATCCTCTAGGCCAGTGGTTTTCAAGCTTTCCTGGCTCAAGTATCAAGAATTCTGAAAACTATCTACATTCTTCTCTTTTACATTTTTTTCCTCTCATGCATTTTTAAGATGACATTAAGAATTTTATCACAAGTTTAAACAGTTGCAAAGGATATACTTTCTAATGTATTATTACATATACATATAAATACATTATATGTATTATATATTATATATGATAATATATATTATAATGTATAACTATATATACATTATATATACATAATAAATAATATAAGTTATATACAAACATGGTATACAAAACAGTCCTCATTGTTAAATTAAATCAGCACAATGAGCCAGATTTACTTTCTGACAGGAAAAGTCTGACTTTGTTTTTTAATTCAAATAAACATTGTATTGTCATCTCTATGATAATCCACCATCTCGATCTTGAATTTTAATTCTGGGATGGAGGGATGGATGGGTAGATGGAAGAAAGGAAGGGAAGGACAGAGGCAGGAAAGAGATCAGGCGTGGAGCCTTGAATGTGCTCATTGCCCAGATGAAGTAAGGGGCTCCCACTCCCTTCTAGTTTGTCGGGACTTTCCTCTCAGGAGCTCTACGTTCTCAAAAGTCCCTGCCGCCTCACCTCAGGCATTATAGTCAGATTGTTGGTGAGTGAGAGTTATGACTTTCTTTTGTAAAACAGGAGAAGAGCACTTGTGAAAAGGAGGTGGGCAGGCAGAACTAGCCAACTATAGGCCTGCTCTTCTCGTTGGCAGGCCAGTTAGCTCCGTTGGTTAGAGCGCAGTGTTATAACACCAAGGTCAAGGGTTCGGATCTCTGTACCAGCCAGCTGCACAGAAAACAATCAAACAAAAAAAAAAAAAATAGGCCTGTTCTCATGCAGGCCTATCTAAAAGAGTTCTATACATACACATAGATATTGAAGATCCAGAAGTTGATTCCTTTAGAAATATCTGATCCTGCATATCCCTGGAAGTCTTTGTGTACTCTGGAGGAACACATTCCTCAGTTTGAAGATCACACACAACCCTAGGCCAGGAGTTACAAAATCAGCCATCTTCAGGGGCCATGCAGGAAACATAACCCTGTGTATACGACAGTTGGAAATGGTGAGGACAGGAGCGGGGTGTGAATGCCCCATAAATGCACAGCTCAAATTACGTTCTTTGAAAACATTGCACCAGCCGTACAAGTCTGGTCTGATGGTGAAGTCAGCCCAGGGGCCACCAGTTTGAGACCTCCACTAGGTCTACCTATGTCCAGATCTGTAATCAAAGTTGCTCTGGGAGACTTGGCATTTGCTTGGGTTCCAGAGGCCATGAGACCTATACTGATGGGCTTTGTTATGAAGCCATTTAACTAAAAGGTTAGCCTGTGTACTCTAACTGACCTTCCTCAAACGTCGCACCAGTGACTGTACTGTCCATCCAGCTGTGGGCCCGTTTTCTTCTAGAGCACTGTTCCTCCATGCTGTTTTCTTTATCCAGCAACTCCTGCCCTCTCCTCAGTGCCAAGCAGATATAGCTGCCCTGTGCAGTATTAAAAATGCATACCTCTGTGGTCTTCAAGATGTATGTGAATGTTCTTGCCTTTGCCATTCTTCACAGTCATTTGCAGTTACTTATGAGGCTTCCCTTCCACTGATGGTCACGTTGTTATGGAAACCTTTATGCTGAGCCCAAATCTTCCTTCCTGTTTCTCCTTCTCATTGGCCCTTCCTCTTCCCTCTGCAGCTGTACAGACTGCCTTCATATTTAGGAAGCTATCATGTCTTCCCTTCCACTGATGGTCACGTTGTTATGGAAACCTTTATGCTGAGCCCAAATCTTCCTTCCTGTTTCTCCTTCTCTTTGGCCCTTCCTCTTCCCTCTGCAGCTGTACAGACTGCCTTCATATTTAGGAAGCTATCATGTATTTCCCCACCACCTTTTCTCTTCTGAAAGCTAAAAATCCTTGTTGTATCAACTGTTCCTCACAGGATATGGTTGCTAAGGCTCTTCACTTTCCATTAAGAATATTTTGGATATTCTTAAATGTGGGAATCTTCTTAAATTATCGATGTTAAAATGTGATTTCCAGAACTAAGTCAGTACTCTAGTTAGGATCTGACAGCACCAAAACAGTAAAACCATCACCTTCCTTAATTTGAACTTTAAACCTTGGTTAATGCAGCCTTGGACTATCCTCCTTTTTAAAATTCTTTAGCGCACATTGGGTTCATGTAGAGTTTGTAGGAAACAAAAAGAGTTCATATACTGTTCTTATTCCTGGTCTCCCCATTTTTTCGCTTTTGTAATATATTTTTAATCTATTGTGTATGGGAACCTTACATTTATCTCTATTAAATTTGCTCTAGTTGGTTTTGATAAGTTATTGCAGTGTACAGCATTCTTTGTGAATTTTGTCCCTGTCATCTGACATATTTATTAGCAGTTTTTCAAACAGTGTCTTCATCTCAAGTTGCCCTTGAGCCAGACAGCCATGTGGAGAGGCCGGCGGCCCTTCTTAAAGAACCCCCCTGGAGTCTTGTTGATTACTGCTCCTGTCTGGTGCTTTCCTGTCTTGCAGCTCACATTTCTCCAGAGTGTGTTTCAACTTTTTTTTAATTAATAGAATAGAAAACTGGAAGCCTGGCCACTTACGTGACTTTCTCAAAGCCACCCAGCTCATATTGGCAGAGCTAGGACTCAGATTAAAGTCTTTAGGAAAGACCTTTTCAAAGGTGATACAGAAGTCAGACTGCATTGACAAGAATCACCAGGGCAGTTTGAAAAACAGATTCTTAGGTCGTAAATATGGCCAACTAAATCAGAAGTTTGAGAAACACTACTTATCAGCTGTTTTCCCTCAGTGAGTTGCCTCATCCAAAAAAGGCAAAGGGGGTTACTGTGCAGAAGACTTCTTAGCAAACTGATGCCAACTCTTGCTAACCACCTCTTTATTTTCTAAGTTCTCACAAACCAAGTAATTAATAACCCATTCAGAAATTTTGTCAGGTGTCACCTTGACACTGCCTGCAGTACAATTTCCACAACCTACCTCATTTTGGAGGAATGGGACAATACAATCCCATTTCCAGTTTTCTAAGACCACTTGCAACTGCCATGACTTCCCAGGGAGTACAGCAATGATTCCACAATCATATGTGCATGGACTTTCAATTCTCTGGCAGGTTGTAGGTCTAGACCATGAGGCCAGGTGAATTCCTGGAGCTCTCATGTGCTCAGACCTAGCCCTTAACTTAGGTGGCCTGGGTCATTTCCATACAGAGAACTCCCCCTCAGAAAGGATGGATTGACTCAGAGTGGGATTTCTGAAGCCCCTTCACCTGCCTCAGGCTTGTGCTGAAGCTCTTATGGAGGCCTGCTGGCTATACCCCACCAGAATTCTCTAGGATTCTGACCATAGTTTCCTAAACTCCAACCCACTAGACTCACACAGTTCCCACTAGATGGCAGGCACTGTGCCAAGTACAGAGGCAAGAGAAAAGTAAGATGTGGCTCCTTCCTGTCCCTATTGGAGCTGGCCTTCTCATCTGACCCCTAGCTCTAACCCACTGCCCTGTATCTGCATTGCCTTTATTCAAGGGCTGGGATCTTTTTTTCTGCCTCAGAAGAAAAAGGATACTGTAAAGAATAAGGGCGTCAGCTCCTGGCTGTTTGACCGCCTTTCCCATGCTTCCTGCATTCGTGGAAGAATTTGAGCATCTCAGGGGCCTTGGCACTTCATGTTCTGACGTTGCTATCTGTGGTTCTTGGAATGGTGTCCTTCCTCCATGTAGTTCTCACGCTTTTCTGCCAGAGGGTCTGCCAGGCTTTCTGCATCATCCTTCCCAGCACTTGGCCTTACCTTGAGAGCTGGCCGAGTCATGGCCCTTCTCCTGACAGTGATAAACAGACTTGCTTTTGTGGCTCACTTGTGCCTAGAGCAGATTTCTCAAAGGTTTGAAGAACACAGTCCTATGAGATGCTCTGAGAAAAGAAAGAAAAAAAAAAACTGCCCTGGTTAAATAAGCATGGGAAATGCAGCTCTGGAGATCTTTGAAGAATCATGGTGCCCTTTAGCATATTAAATGAAGTCTGTGTGAAACCCAGTAGGAATGTGTTTCGGTTTGGTTAAGTTGCTATTACCAAACTTTCATTGTGTTCTTGGGTACTGTAATTGTCAGTCTTTCCTTAACAGCTATTAACACCCACAAGCTCCAGAAAACCCACATTGAGATGTCTCAGCCTAGACAATGTCCAGTTATCTGGAATGGACTGCATTGTCAAACATTTTATCTGGATAAAGACACAGCCTATTGTATCTTCCTTATGTATATATGTTCAATATAAGGTAATAACCACATTTCAAAAAATGTAGGGAACAGAGAATAATTTTAAGACACATAATTCCAAGGTCAAACACAATGTGTTTTACAGAAGTTCTTAGCCTTGATGATATCCACAGATAGAATTTAGGGGGTCCATGAATGTAAATTTTAAAAAATTGTATATTTTCACTAACCTCTAGCTAAAATCTGGCATTCCCTCTGATTATAAATGTGGGGAACAAACCACAATAATGTTAGCAGTACCTATGTCTTTGTCACCAATAGAGATGACAGGTTTTTTATACTACTTCATAGAGGTTGCTAATATCCCCAAGAATTATTTATGCTTATCATGTGTTTTAGTCCGTTTTGTGTTGCTATAACAGAAATACCTGAGACTGAGTAATTTATAAGGAAAAGAGATTTATTTGGCTTACGATTCTGGGACAGCTGCATCTGTCACAGGCCTTAGGCTGCTTCTACTCATGGCAGAAAGTGGCAGGCAGCTGGCAGGTTCAAGCAGATCACATGGTAAGAGAGAGAGAGAGAGAGGAGGTGCCAGGGTCCTATAAACAACCAGCTCTTGCAGGAACTAATAGAGCGAGATCTCACTCAGGCCCCCCACCCCCAGGAAGAGCATTAATCCATTCATGAGAGATCTGCCCCCATGACTCAGTCAGTTGACTCAATCAGTCCTCAATGTGGACTGCCACATTGGGGATCAAATTTCCACATCAGTTTCGGAGGGGACAGCACATCCAAACTCCATCATCATATTTTCAAATGTCACTTGATGTACCACTATATGTTTTTTACTATGTTAATATCTTTTAATAGTACAAATTTATTTTTATAACATTTGATAACTATATTCAACATTATTTCTTTCCTTTGTGATAATTTTATTTTATGCATTTAAAACATCATTCTGAGAAGGAATCCTACCTCGCCAGACTGCCAGAGGGGTCTGTGACAAAAACGGGTCAAGAACCCCTGCTGTATTAACATTTAATATCCAGCCTTTTTATGAATGCCATTTTATATAATTGTACTTTTTATTTATGTGTGTGTATATATATATATATAATGTACCTACTTATATAAACACACAACAAAGAATATATATATATAAATATATCTACATATAAATATATCTGTTATAAATATATAGATAGAGGTACATATTTACATGTAAAGATATTATATATATACACACATATATAATTCTGTGTCCTTTGTTCAATAACTATATATCAGTTATTTTTTTATTATCTCATTCTTACTAACCACGTTCCACTATGGTTGTACTTTTAGGTTGTTTTCTGTTTTTAATTCATGCAAGTAGCTTTTCCTGTATTTTGGATTATTTTCTAACAGAAGGTTCCCAGATCTATATTGACACCGTGTCCTATGATATCACCTCACAGTAATTCCATTAGAACACACAGACACATGACCTCTCTGGCCACACACGTCAAGCTTCCTGAAGTTTCTAAGCCTGTTTTGTTAACCTGATTTATGGTTCAGATAAAGTCTGTTGACAAAACTTTATTTAAAACAACAACTGTTCTTTTGGTTTCTTTGTCCATAGGGATTCTAACATTGTTCTCAAGGTCAGAGGCCTGTAGATACTATTTTAAGAAGGAGAAAAAAATTGGTTTCTTAGCAGAGACTTATTTTTGCAAAATTGATGGGCTGATTTACTTCTTCAGTCATTTGGAATTGATGTTGGTTCTCCAAAGCCCCAAGGTTTCTCTTGGAGGGTTTGCCCTGAGGAAACTGAGTGGCTGGGCACTGCAAATAGGTTCCTTGTGGTTGTTTCTTAAAGCTCCAGGATTCTTCCTGTAGGAAGGTTGACATTCACCCACGTGTTGACATTGCATTTCAAGTGAATCTGGATACTTTTTCCTCCTCCCAAATGAATTGAAGTCGACTGAGCCACTTTTAATGACTCCAGTAAGCATAAAGCTCCAGGATTCTTCCTGTAGGAAGGTTGACATTCACCCACGTGTTGACATTGCATTTCAAGTGAATCTGGATATTTTTTCCTCCTCCCAAATGAATTGAAGTCGACTGAGCCACTTTTAATGACTCCAGTAAGCATTAGGTGGTGGTTTTGAAGGTTGTAAACGAGAGTTCGGTAGCTTGGCATTTGCAGTCTTTAATTATTGCTGTCTTACAGGCTCATCAGTTAGCATCCATGCAAGCGCAGGCTTATACTGGTGGGAATGCAAACCTCCCACCTGCTAATAACGAGGAAGAGGAAGATGAAGAGGATGAATATGATTATGACTATGAATCCCTTTCTGATGGTAAGAGAAACAGATCCCTGTGCTGTGTGCAGGAAACTGCTTGGATGATTTTTCACTTTTTTCTTTCTTTCTTTTTTTTTTTTTTACCAAAAGTAAGTCTGGAGCTCCATAGACCAACAATATAGATTGTTGTAGTATTGTCCGAGAGTTTCTGAATCCAGTCACTTAGCGAGGACCAAGCAAGGAAAGGGATTCTGTTAGCCACTGCAGTTGCCACCCAAGGAAAGAAGAGGGTATGGGAAGCAACACGGAGTCATTACTTAGATGAGTTCCTAGAGCAACAGATGGAATTACAGCAGAAATGCCCCATTTTCACCCTTGCAGTTTCTGGTGTGGCTGATGCTCTTGGCAGGAATTGCAGACTGTGGCTGAATCCTTTTTCTCTCCTGAACCACCTGCAGGGGTGGCATCACCACTCTGTGTCCTCTTGGTTTCTCTTCTTGCTCTTACTCTGACATTCTAGGAGTATAGAAAAGAAAGGAGCCTCATTTCCCTTCTCTTCCTGGTTTTCATGGTACTAAGCCAATGGAACATTTCCTTCTGGCCCCACCAAAGAAAAAAAGCACAGGTGATGGGCTAATGATGCAACACAAAAAAGTCACAAGAATGATGTCAACTACAGATTACTAGTGAAGGGTTTTTCTCATGTGAGAATTAGGTTTCAAGTGTATTTGATTTGTACTAAATTAGTGTCATTTGCTGGAGATTGCAAAATGTTTTCTCAGGTACCATTGCTGATAGTAAACTGTTTTCATTTTGGTGACTTCTGAAAGACAACAATATAGTAATGAGAAAACACTTTCATCACTAGTTACAGTCCAGTCCCTTTCTGCCCCCAAATATAATACCAGGCTATGTCCATTTAATATTTATTCTTAGTAATAACTGATTGCTTCATACCATCAATTAAAAGCCAATTTACTTGACCTGAAGCCCCATGAAATGCAAAGGACATATCTCATCAGATAATAAGAGGAGAAAATTAAAAGGAGTCAAGACAATTTCTTTGCAGCCCATTTCTGAAAAGTTGTGGAAATGTGCATATTTTTATACTGACTTATTCTTCCACGTGGATTTTTACTACAGTTGTGGTAATGTTCCACAGAAGAATAAATTGATTCAGATATGAAATAAAAACCGCACTTAAGAAATCAACTAATCCAGATGTCATTTGCCCCCGCAAGAAGTTAGTCCACTAGAAGACAAATTTACTCTCTGTCATAAATTACTCCTGTGCTTTTTCTGTACTTTTGAGAACAGGAAATGAGAAGCCTTTTTAAAATTGTTGTTATAGATGTTTTTGATTTGCAAATAACCAAATGAACAGGTGGGGGAAGGATCCTTCCCATTTATTTTCAGTTGAGAGAGTAAAATTTAACCCTCCACCACTGCATTTCTAAGATAGTTGCATGCACTTTTTATAACCCACATGGGCTGGGGTAGAGTATCAGTGGAAAAGGGGGTCCCACCAGCTTCTTCTCCAATAGGCTGTGAGACCTTGGCAATGCATTTCCACTTCTCCAGGCCTTAGTCCCTTAGGTATATAATGAACAGGTTCTGTGAAGTGTTTGGTAATGTTCCCACCCCCACCCCCACTTCTAGCACTAACATCTGTGGTCTAAGATTTCCCATTTCATTAAAAGATTCCTCTAATGCTAACTATTCTGATTGGATCATTATACAATATATGCATGTATTGAAACAACAAACTATACCCCATAAAAATGTACAATAAAAGAAAGGAAAAAGGAAACAGACAAGCAAACATCCCTCTGGCTGGCTGATTCCCAAACAGGCCTTGTAGTTATGCCTTGACTTGTTGAAGCTTGTCTTGTTAAGGCTTCTGTATGTGCCTGTTAAGTGCCTTGTCAACTGCACGCTTTTGATAGTGGTTGTGGTGCCTCAGCATCTCTGCTTTTCTCCACAATCTCTGCTTCTCCAGATGGGATAAAAAGGAAATAGAAACCTGACTGCTATGGGGATCACCATTTCCAGCTTCTTAGGGGGACCTCAGAGTTTTCTAAGCTTCCTTTGAGAATCAGAAGCTGTGACCTGTCACTTCCCGTAAATACACATACTCTCACAATTCTGCACACAATCACAGGAGTCTCACAAGCCCCCTAAGGCCTTCACAGGCATCCCAGGTTAGGAACCCGTCTCTAAAGTCTGGGTGTCCTTGGGGCCGGCCCGGTGGCGCACTGCTACAGTGCACCGCTTGGGAGCAAGGCGGCGCTCCCGCTGAGGGTTCGGATCCCACATACAGACTGGTTCCCGCTCACTGGCTGAGCGAGGTGCGGGAGCAACACCGAGGATTGCGATCCCGTTGCCAGTCCCGGTCCGGTACGGGCGCGACCCTGGGGGTTGCGATCCGTTGCCGGACACGAAAAAAAAAAGACAAAAAATAAAAAAAATAAAGTCTGGGTGTCCAGCTTATCTCTATGACAGCTCTAGTCCTCAGTTTTCATAACCGTAAAATGAGGCAGCGAGGTGCGGGAGCAACACCGAGGATTGCGATCCCGTTGCCAGTCCCGGTCCGGTACGGGCGCGACACTGAGGGTTGCGATCCGTTGCCGGACACGAAAAAAAAAAGACAAAAAATAAAAAAAATAAAGTCTGGGTGTCCAGCTTATCTCTATGACAGCTCTAGTCCTCAGTTTTCATAACCGTAAAATGAGGCATTTAATCTAAAGCCCCTTTTGGCTATAAAAATGAGATGATGCCTAGCCACAGAATTATTTCAAGAAAACCCTAAGGAAGTTGCAGACGAGGTTCATATATTTTAGGAATTGCTACCTGCCTTTTGGATAATACATTCTGAATGAAAATGTATTACATTGAATTTAATGAAATAAATAAAGATTTTTCCCCCAACCTTATTGTTTACCTCCACCAGTTTTGAACATACACTGGAGCACAACTTAGTATAGGCATATTCTATGACAGTGACTGCATGATTCTAACAAATTGATCGATTTCTGTCCATTTGCAATAAAGTTGTATTGGGAATATTACAATAGTCAGTAACTGAAAATAGGTAACATGAATGTGGCAGCCATTGGCATGATTAATGTTAACAATGTTTGCATTGCTTTTATTGCTAGCCCTGGCATCCCTTAATAGTGAAAATATCAAATCTATGGAACATTTCTTATTTTATTTATTTGGTAATCTAAGCTGTTGTTATTTATGCTTTACTTCATACCCTAGTTTAATTTATCGGGCTTTTTGTCTTAATTCTCCTTACTTTTATCCTCTTTCTGATTCTGTTTTTCTGTAGCAGATGTCCTTACTGCTTCCCCAGCTCCTAACGGTCAGGAAGGTAAATGCCATTTGAACTGGGCACTTTAACTGCATGGATGTCAGCATTCTGTTTCCAATTTCTTGGGCCTGATTAGCATGAAGTTGTGACACTTCTATGAATACAAATGTGATGAAATGATTTATCTCATTAATTCTTGGCAGCCTGCATGGCCCTGATTTGGTATAAGGATATTTTGGTCTAAGCATTTGTGGTCTAATGAGAGAGTAAATCATGAGTGAAAAATTAGCATTTTTGTTTTTCATTTCAAAAGAGCGTAATCATGATATACCTCTAACACTTTTAGAATCATTCTGAATAGAAATTTCAAAAAAAGAGCAAACTATAAGATTATCTGTCATACTTAGATATACATCAAAAAGTTTGTGGAAAAATAGAATTAAAAGATGATATGCCCACCCCACCCCCACCCCCCAAAAAGAAGAAAGATATAACACCAAGGTCCAGGGTTCAATCCCAGTACCAGTCAGCTGCCAAAAAAAAAAAAAAAATTAAAAGATAATATGAATCTTTCCACAAACTTTTTGAAGTACCCTCGTATTTTAGTTCCTATCCTTAAGATTATAACTTAATAAATTTATAACAATCATGAAAACTTTACTTTCTAATTAATTATAATTATGAAAAATTTACATAACAATAAGCCTTCCCCACCCACCCCAACCCCTGATTTTGACATTTCTCAAGGAAAGGAACGAATAGCTTCATTTCAAAGTGATTTAATCATATAAGTGCCATCTAGAAGTGCTTCAACCACTAAATCCTTCTCAAACTTGTGTGCTGTCAGCTTCTTGACACAGGATATCTTCTATAACATTTGCACTGTTCCAGTCATCCTTATGAAAAAGAGTGTTCTCATTTAGATTATGTCTCTATGGTACCAAAACTGCTGGCAAATGACTCCATGATTTGGAAACAGACATATAAACCCAATTTTACAAATTATACCTGAAGCCATAATTTTGGTACCATGTAGCCAGAGCCTCAGTCTTGCAGATAAGTATGCATATCTACATGTCCTTGCAATGAGGAACAAACACACAGCCCTTCAGTAAAGTTCTTTGTCACTGACACCTCCTAACTCATTTCAGACAACATTCTGGAAGACAAACCTGAAAATAAGTCATGTAATGACAAGCTTCAGTTTGAATATAATGAAGAAGTCCCCAAGAGGATAAAGAAAGCAGACAACTCTGCTTGCAGCAAAGGAAAGGTGGGTGAACAGAGTATTCACTGACACCTGGACCAGTCAGTTTCCAGTGCGATTCCACTTCCTATCCCTTTTCTTCATCTTTCCCCACACTTTCCCTGAGATGCCAAAGTCCATGTGATGATAATATGGGACACCCACTTGCCATTTCTAGAAGGTTAGTCATTGATTCATCCAACCAATACCTACTGAAGGTCTATGTGTGGCAGAGGAGGTGATTTAGTGATGCAGGTAAACAGTGCTTGTAGATACATACAAAGAACAGTGATCACACTGTGTCATCAGAGAATCAAGGACAGGTTCTCAGGGAAGATGATGTTTGAGAAGGAAGATTTGGCCAAAATAGGCAAAAACAAGGCATTTAGGCCAGGAGGACAGCCTGGTATGTTCAGGTAACTGCAAGATGTTTTAAAGGCATTTGAGATGACCAAGAAGACAAACCAGGGCCAGGTTGTAAGTGTTAGCAGAGGAATGAAACTGAGAATAGGAAAATAAATGAGATACCTAGACCCTACACTCAAGTGCCTCCAAGTATATAGAATCTGAGCAAATCTGTATAGACACAGTTGCAGTGACATTGTTAGAGAATAGAGTAATAAAATATGTCAAAACTTTGAGCCACAGAATATAGTCAGTCCTCTATTTATTCAACAAGTGTGCATTGACTCTCCCATGTGTAAGACAATGGACTTCCCTGAGGGAAGACGAAGGATGAATTAGACTCATCCCTTGTCCTCAGAAAGCTTTTAGTCTAGGAAAGGTGTTAGGCCATGTATTTGGATAAACACCAAGCACGGGGAAACACACTGATGACCCCAGAGACATATAGTTAAAGAGCTTTGGGAATTCAGAGGTGGGTGGTATATACCTTCCATGTAAAATGGTATCATTTTCCCTTGATAGGTTTACGACATGGAACTGGGAGAAGAATTTTATCTTCCCCAGAATAAAAAGGAAAGCAGACAGATTGCACCAGAGCTTTCTGACCTTGTCATCTATTGCCAAGCAGTAAAATTTCCAGGTAAGAGTAAGCAATATCATCTATAACATTTAAAGATACCAAAGTATACAAATATGCTATTTATTTAATTGAGCATCGTGAATACTCACCAAATAACTAAATTGTGTTGCCGAAATTATTGTTATAATACCATCTAAATACTTATTATTATAATATGCTTTGATGCTCATGAGGAAGAATACCATAAAATGTTCATTTTCCAAATCACACAATGTCTTTTTATATAATTGTTTATAATAATGATAATATGAATAATATTCATAATATCTAATAGCTAAAATAAGCACTTAAATACCAAGATTTATGCTAATTATTTTACATACATCATTTCCTTGACTATTCATAATGATTCTATGAGGTAGGTGTTATTATCCCCATTTTTAAATAAAACAAAGTCTGAAAGAGATGAAGTAATTTGCCGAAGGTATCAGAGTGTGTCATTTAAGACTGTTTTGCTTGACAGTGGCAGAAACTGATTTAAGCAAAGAAGGATATTTATTCGCTCATGTAATGAAAAATGAAGATATACGAGGGCACTTCAAAAAGTTTAGGGAAAGAGTCTTATCGTCTTTCATTTCTGTCTTTTTACAAACTTTTCAGAGTATCCTCACACGAGTTTCAGGTACAACTTGATCCAGGGCACATTCTTTCTCTCCATTTCTCACTCTGCCTCCACTATGATGGCTTTATTCCCTTTGGCAGATGGCTGTAGCAGGCTAGTTCTACATGCTTCCAGATTCGGCTGTGGTGTAAGGGTCTCTTCCAGAACTTCCAGCAGTAATTTCCTTGTTTGTCATCTGGGTCCTTTGCCCAAACCTCAGCTAATCACTATGGCCAGCAGGGTGCAGTGCTCTGACAGTCTGGGGCCTATTTCACATGCTCCATCCCTGAGTAGGGTAGAGAGGCTCCACCCAAACTACAAGGACAAAGGATGGGGTTGCAGTAGGAGAGGAGGTTTCCCCAATTGCCCATTTCTAGAAGTACAGTGAACTTATGCTGATGAACCACTTTCCCAAAAATGTGTTCATTTCAGTTCATACATGGTAGACCTACAATTCTGCAGCCTGTTTGTCTCCAGAGTCCTCACCCTGACTGTCTTGTTAGGGTTTATTACCAATGATCTCACCCAATGGTGTGTCCCACAAATGGGACACCAGGAAGTGGAGGGCAAATAGGAATGTATATCAATATATGTGGAAGTCAAAAAATTCATCTCTTCCTACTAAGAAAAAGAATTCCTTTGCATAAGATTTCTAAGGACAGGAAAGGAGCTGAGATTGGAGGATCAGCCTAGATGTTAGTAAAAAGGGTATATAAACTTGGCCTGGAGAGAGGAATTAAAATGCCAACCATCATCTTTTTAAGATGAGCTGAACTCAGGTCCTGACTCTCAGAGCTTATCTTAAAGCACTGGTTCTCACACTGTGCCTAGCAAATGGGACAGAGGTATTGGGCTTAAAAATTAGGTAATAGGGGCCTTTTTATACCCCAGATAGAATCTTAGATAGAACTTTTTAAATTTTAAGTTGTTTCCCATAAACTGTTTTTAGACTTTTGGCAGATGCTATTGCTTGTCTGCTAGTAAATCTGTTGAGGAGTATATAAATGAATAAATAGCAAGCAAAGACTTCAAAGAAGTGCAAGAACCTAGCCATTTGTTTAGTTTCACAGATCATGACTTTTAGTCACATAAGTACAATATGATTACATTTGCAGCTGGTGAAAGTGTTGTTATGATGGAGTAAAATTCTTTCTCTGTCAAAGAGCATCGTGGCTGGCATGTCCTTCACCATAGGAACAAGTATGAGGACCACGCCATTCAAGAATCACACTCGCTTCATCTCTCATTCTTTATACATGCAGCTGACGCTACACTCAAACCATTCTACTGGCTTTGTCTGTTCTTCTCAAGAAGAGTAAATAAAGTGAATAGTAAATAAAGTAAATAAAGAGCACAAATTCCCAAAGATATTTGAAGTCAGTGTGAAAGATAGTTTCTGTGCAAATACAGAATCATGGAAGGGTCAAGAGGTCATTTGGTCGAGCTTCTGACTTGAGGCACAGGCTAAGCATGTGGTTGTTTGGCTTGTTTTTAAAATTCCAAGTATGTTGATTTTTTAAAAAAGTGTTTACATAGTACCTGTTCTTTATAGGTATGCTATTTTTAAATTTTTACTTCTTAGTAATTGAAGTTTCTTACATTTTTCTTTCCCAACTTTATTTCCTTTTTCAAAATAACTAACTTGTGTTGGCAGAATCATTTTATAATACTTTCTAAATATTTATTGTTATTATTTGTTTTGATGCACATGAGGAAAATACCATTAAATAGTCATTTTGCTTTGCTATTGATTATAACTCTGCTAGATTATTAATTTCAACATATCTCACCTTTCACCATCCCAAGTCCCTTCCTGGGAGCCACATACAAACAAGCCTTCAGCGCAGTGAGGCACCCAAAGACCATGTGGTAGGAGGCCCACAGATGCAAAGTAACTTCTCAAAGATCACAAACCTTGTTCAGTCCCAGGGCGAGAGCCAGAAGTCAGGGCTCAGTTCCCAGTGCTGAGCTCTTTTCACCCCACTATCTTGGCTTTCTTAGAGCCAAGGAGGTAGCTGAGTTTTTTCTACCTTTATACCTGCTTTCTCATTGGATTTGTTTCTCAGTTACTTTTAGTACTTACATCTTCCTGTTTTTTCTCCTTCTAATAGACAAAAAAGAAGGACGTTATTTTTATCATATGACCGCACCAACTCAGTTTCTGGATACTTCCCTGCAAGCTCCCCAGCATCCCCTTTCTCATCAGGCACCTACATACACCACAGTCTTTCCAGCTTCCAGCCTTTGCTTAGACAGTTCTCAACCTGGCCTGTCCTTCCTCCTCCCTCTTGTCACTATACAAACTCCAAGGTCTAGGATCCCTGTGAAATGTGTGAGACTCTTCAACCTACCATAATGTCTCCTTTCTGGGAGCTCCTTGCATTTATAGGTACATGTTTGGGTACCTCCTGGGTCTCTCATTGTTCCCCAGTTAAGAATACAGACTTCTAAGAAAAATATTACTAGATGGTGACAAGGTCTTTGGACAAGATCATTTGTCAGAGACTGGGCTCTTGGCTACCATGCTTGGTGACTTTGGCCAAGGCAAATCCCCTCTCTGAACCTCCGTTTCCTCACTTGAAAGTGGGTTTTACTAGAATCCGTGTTTACCACACTTGCTGAAATCACCAGAATCACCCAGGCTACTTGGTTAAAGTACCAATTCTCAGGCCTCTCTGCAAGGGATTTCCATTTGGCAGGTAGCTGTGAGGCCCTGGTACCTGAGCTTTTGATACAGGTGATTCAGGAGCATCAGAACTAGGTGGTCTAGAAGGCTGATTCTGAGGGGGATTTTGCCTCTTTCTCATTTAGATTCACCACAAGAGTGGGTGCTCAGGGATTCCATGGTGAGGCCTATCCAGAAGGTGCTGTGACTTCCGGGGTTCATTTATATTCCTCCTAAGGAGCCACATGGGAAGAGCCTTCCAAATTTCAGCCCATTCACTTGACACACACCCTCATTTTCTCAGCATGGAGTTCCCACAGCACTGAGAAACACACTTTCTTCATCAAACAGTGGTTTGCTAACAAGCCATTTGAATCACCTAAGTGGGACCCTGCGTTCTTGGATAGCTTCTGGCTGGCTGGGTGTGGGATGCTGGCATTAAGGCTCCCTCTCCTCTTCCCCATAACTCCGCCTCCCCTTTCAGGCTGCTGTCCTCCCCTGAGAGTGCTGGCAGTCAGCCCCCACTGCGCCTCTGGGTTATTCAAACCATACAATATCACCACAGGACAAAACACTTTAGGGACAAAGGGATGTGTTTCAGCAGAGGAGAGTAGAATGCTAACCAGTACACCACTGAGAGGTAACCCTGTTCACTAAAACTTAGCCCCAGTGCCTCCCAAAATCTTGCAACACTAGTGAAGACAAATTTTCAGTGCCTGCTGTGAGGCCCTCCTGCACAGAGCATGCAGGAAATGCACTCAGAGAGGGCATCCAGAAGAAAGCCTAGCACTGATGACATATACATTGCTTGTGGAATCAGGGGGTTGGTTTCACAGCCCACAGACAAATCAGAATTTCTGCAGGAAGATATCATCATATGCTCTGTCTTCAACTTATTCTTAAATGCCTACAGGCTTCCAGTTGGTGATCATCTCAAACTTCTGTCTCAAAGATTTCGTCACCATCAGATGTTCCAACATCTATGTGAGAGTACTTCAAAAAGTTTGTAGAAAGAGTTGTATTATTGTTTAATTCTATGTTTTCCACAAGCTTTTTGAAATACCATCGTATCTAAAACAGAAGCATTCTCATTCACAACTGTAAGAAAACACACGATGAGAGGAAAGACCCTAAAATTAACTGGAAAGACTCAGCCAAAGAAGAGAAATAGCCACCAGACTGACCACATGGGCTTAAATCCCAGCTCTACTTCTCCATGACCTTGACTTGGACAGTTGTGTAGCCTCTCTGCATCTTGGATTCCGTATCTAAAATAGGCATTACTGTCCCAACTTGCAGGGTTGCTGTAAAGATTAGCAATAAAGTGCATAACATGCTTAGCACAACTATGGAGCATAGCTGGCTTTCTGGAAGTGTTGAAATTGGTAAATGGACCAACAGGGTAGATGAAGGTTCTTTGTTGCTCTTTCAGTTATTTCTCTAGCCCTTTCCCACAATTCAAAGTCCTTCCCCTTTAGTGATCACCCAACCTCTGTTTTCTTCTCTCCACAACAGCACAACCAGAGTCTTCACAGAGGGGCCCACATACCTGTGGGGCATGTCGACAGTGCCAGGTTATGTGCAAAAGCCCCAGAATGAACAGTACCCCTCTCCCTGGCCCATTATCAGTTTTACTTGGGAGAAAATCTGTTGTTATATCATTGCAATGAGCACAAAATTCACACAACTTTTAAGATCAAAGCATGAGAACTCAATAGTCTGTCCATCTTTGCTGTTATAAGTACTTTAGAGGAAAAAAACTTAGATGCCCCTAATTAAGCAAATAATTGTAACAGCTGCTGTGGGTGAACATTTTCCCTGAAGAAGACACTTTAAGTATGTATGTATACATTATCTCGTTTATTCCTAACCACAGCCCTTTTACAGATAAGGAAGGAGTGGTCCAGAGAGGTGAAGTAACTTGTGTGAGGCTGCACTGCTAGGAACAGGGTTTAAACCCAGGTGTGTCTCACTCCAGAGTCTGTGCTCCTAAACACTATCCTGTCTCTGATGATGATGTTCTTGGAAGTGTTTTTGCATCTCAAAGAGGACCTCCTGGATGCTGCTTCAGCTAAGGAATTACTCTCTAATGGTACAATTAGAGACAGTGGGAACTATTTGGAGGCTACTCTGGCTTCATTGGTGCCCTTAGATCTCTCTCCCTACACTGGAGCCAGGTCTGTGTGATGTGCGTTCATTCCCTCATTAAGCAAGTAGGTACTAAGTTCCTGCTCTGCACCAGGCATTAAGGATCCAGGCAGTGGTTAGACCAGGAGTGAGAAGGAGAAGCCATGAAACATCATTATCATCATAATGTATTTCCCATTTAATCCTCAGAATCCTATGAGTGAGTTCCTATAATTGTACCCATTCTGTAGAGAAGGAAACTGAGGAACAAAGAAGGTAGGTGGTAAGTCAAGGCTCATAGCACTGGGAATTGAATCTAGACAATGTGACGCTGACACTCAGGCTTGTAACTTTTCTTTCATCCCCTCAAATCGAATAATTAGCTCCTGATAACTAAATATTGACTGCACCACTTTCTTTTCATGCAGTTCTTCAAAATCTTTCTGGTGCATAGTCAACTAGCATTGTGTGTAATTTTGTGGTCATTTTGTAATAAGTATGCAGTTCTTTTTGCATTTGCCTACAGAGATGAAAACTTTGCTATAATTGCCTACAATGCTATTAATAACGGTGCTAAAAATGCTACTCGATAGATCTTCTGTACTAGGTTACAAGGGAGTAGTAGGACTTCAAAATAAACATGAACAAGGATGGAAAATGTTGAGTTCCCTTGCTTGTAGTTTTTGGCTTATTTATTTTCATTTTGTGGGAACAGGCCTGTCAACTCTAAATGCATCTGGCTCTAGCAGAGGAAAAGAAAGGAAAAGCAGGAAGTCCATTTTTGGCAACAATCCGGGTAGAATGAGCCCAGGGGAGACAGCATCATTTAACAAAACATCTGGAAAAAGTAAAGTCACCTTCTTACAATGTCTTTGCTTGATTTTGCATGCTGAATGATTCAGATATCTTACTAAGTACTTCCCTTGAATTTTTTAATTCTTTTTTTTTTAATTTTCATGAGCATTCATATTGTCTAAGTGTGGTACAAATGTTTTTAAATTGCTAATTTACACTTTTAACTTATCAAAAATAGCATTTCACTGAGATGGTCTAATGGTGTTTGCCTCAAAAGTAAAAATTGGAAGCACCTTGGAACATCCTAGTGGTTCTTGGAACTGCACCCTTCACCATTATCACCCCAGAAGATATATCTATTTTATTTCTAATTACTTTTTATTATGAACATAATAAATTCTCATAGTTAAAAACTGGAACAATACAGAGTATTATTAAAATTCCTTTCCACCCTGAATGTCCTGGTGCTACTCCCTAGAGGTAACCACTGTTAAGTTTACTGTGTTTTGTTAAAAAACAAAAAAAGGAGGTGGATCCTATTAAGGTAACCCAAATGGGATATAACCAAATATACTCATATAAATTTTATACTTGCTGTATCTTTTCACATAACTTTATATGTATCTACCTTATTCTCTTTAATGCCTGTGTGGTACAACATTGTTTGGATATACTGTCCTTTATTTAGTCAGTTCCACATTGATAGAATGTTTGGGTTGTTTCCTGTTTTCGTTTTGTTTTTTCTATAAAAAAAAAAAAATCAGTGCTGGAGTGAGTATCCTTGTATGTATATTGCTTTGTATTTGTGTAAATATACCACAGGACAGATGAAGTTCTGAGGCAAAGGACTTTCAGGATTTTAATTTAAATAGGTATTGCTACACTCACTTAAAAACTCAGTAGCCACCATGTTGTTTCAAGGTAGTGACTAACTCACCAGCATAACTTACAATGTATTCTGATGTATCGATGTGCTATGACTGTTTACTGGGATGTTGTTCAGGTTTATCTTTCTAAAACGCTTAAAGTTTTCTGTACTAATCTGAGACTAATCTTTTGGGGGGTTTAGGTTCCTGTGAAGGAATTCGACAGACCTGGGAGGAATCTTCTTCCCCTCTCAACTCTTCCACGTCCCTCAGCGCTATCATTAGAACTCCCAAATGTTATCATATCTCATCGCTGAATGAAAACGCTGCCAAACGTCTTTGTCGCAGGTATTCTCATAAACTGATCCAGCACACCGCCTGCCAGCTGCTGAGGACCTACCCGGCTGCCACCCGCATTGACTCATCCAACCCCAACCCCCTCATGTTCTGGCTCCATGGGATACAGCTCGTGGCACTCAACTACCAAACTGATGGTAATAGGCCTGCATCCTCCCCTCTCTCCTTTGCATCTCATATTTCAGTAAATGCAGTTCAACAAACATTTTTTCTTTTCTTTTCTTTTCTTTTTTTTAAGGAATATTTTATTTTATTTTATCATTTTGTCTTATTTTATTTTACCTAGCAGCTGGCTGGTAAACATTTTTTCAAAGGGGCAGGAGTCCAGACTGGGGCACATCATTCGTGAGGGTGAAAATACAGATGACAGAACACCGAAGTGAATTTGATACTGAATTGTGCCCCTGATGTTTCAGAGTTAAGTTGATAGAAAAGAACCTTGAAGGGGACCCTCATGGTCTCCTGGTCCTTGACCCTTTTTTAAGGCACTTTTTTAAACATAAGACCGCTCTGTCAAGATCTGTTAAAGATCTCTTAGGGCATGGATTTTCTAACACTGCTTAGTCACCTGTCTCGCTATGCAGTTGTTCTTGCAGGCAAAAAGTAGTGTTGTTCCAGACACTTTCCAAGTTAAAACCATCTTAGTTTCCTTTCATCCCTTTGAAATTGAGATGGAGAACAATGGTCAGTGCTTTAAGTGTAGCTAACAGAAGGAAAACAAGCCTGTGAATTAGACAAACAGAAAGCAGTGTTTGTGTTTCTCCACTGTGTATGAGACTCTTGATACGAGGCCTAAAACTCCAGAGTAAAAGCTGCTGTCAGTTGCATACTCACTGTGCGCCATGTACTGTGCTGAATTCTTGGCCCCTTATTATCTTATTTAATCTTCACAACAACCCACAGAGATGGGTACCTTTATGAACCCCATTTCTCAGATGAGAGAACCAAGGTGCAGAGGAGTTAATTTGCTCGAGGTTGCAAGATGACTTGTAATACTAAATTCAAGGACTCTGAGAGTTTAGAGGATAAAGTGTTTTGTTTCCACTTGGTTATGGGGCAGGAAGGGACCCACAAAAGGTGAGAAAAGAGTAGATGAGGAATGTTTCCTAGAAGCTCATTTAAAAACCACAGTCTTTGAGTAGCCAAGCAGTGAGCAGCACTTATCATCCATCTCACGTGAACTGAATCCGATCCCAACTAACTGTGCTGAACCATAAACCACAGCACAGCCCTGTCTCCAGTTGAGGTCAAACCACAGCTTTGGCTCTGGGACCAGCTAACTACCTGGCACTGGTGCCAACAGTGTCCATTTGTGACTGATCCTGACGACATATGGTTAGAGATTTTGGTCATGTTTTTTTGCCCTTGTTATATTTGCTTCTTTCAGTTGAAATTAAATAAGATAATGCAGGTGAAGTACCATACTTAGCATAGTGCCTGGCGCACAGAAAGCATTCCACAAATGTTAGCTATCATTAAGTGTGTTTGATAAGTTATGAAAACAATATGATTTGGAGTACCAAATGGAAATAATAGTGAAATTCTTTCAAAGTTGTAAAGATTTTATTTTCCATTTCTTTTCAATCTTTCCCTAGTGGCTTGTGGGTTCACCTCTCTGGCCCTGTCTGTAGCTCTGCCTGTATCCACTGGCGCCCTTGGTTATTATGATACTGAAATATTTTAAATAAAGTGAAATAACTAGCAATATGGTTTTCTCAAGGAAATGGAAATGCGTTTGGTTTTGGATGTGTCCTTTCTCCCGAAGTGCCAAGACTGGTGCAGACACACTGGCTCCACTGATGGCAAAAGGAGCCACAGCTGAAGGGACACAGGAAGTTACCACTCCTCAGGCCACCACACAGTCCAGCAGCACAGATTAAAGCTGCAGCTTGTCCTTCACTTGCCCATGAAGGCTTTGCCTCTCTCCCAGATCAAGCTGGAAGTTCATGTTCAAGCTGCCCACTCAGGGGAGGCGGCTGACTGTGTTGTGTGGTTCATCCTTAAGTTTCTCTGCATAATCTTCCAACCCAGTAGGGAGTACTATCATATAACCCCTCTTGATTCAATGCAGCAAGCATTGGTTAAACATCTCCCCACGCTGGACAAAGCACAAGCTACATGCACTGTTAGTCTGTTCATCTGTAAAATGGTCTTCATTTCTGCAAACTGGGGGTAGAGCCTGGTTCAATATCTTGTGCACAGTAGATGTCCAATGAATGCATGCTACCCCGAGCTGAAGCAGATTGTCCCTAACAGCCCCACTGCAATCTAAACCTGTGGTTCTTGATTTTGGGTCCAGATCTCTTCCAGATACTTACTTCTCTGTGAATTACAAATCCAAATAGATAAGAGTCAACATTGGAATCACCATTTTTTAATTGTCAAAAGGTATTCCTAGGTTAGGAAGTACTCTCCCAGTGTTGTTCCAATACGTCCCATAGATCATTTGCCTTTCCACTTTCTGGATTTCAGGGGACCCTGATGCCCCAAAGGGGTGTTCATAGACTTAGTGCCATCTCTTCCCAGGCTTTCTGCTGGTTCCTTCAACTCCCAAGAAGGTCTGAAGTGATCTGGAACCAGGAGTATCCCAGGTTCACACTCCATAAAACCAATTCTTAAGTTTGGAAACTGACCTGAGGCTGCTATGCAATCCCTTGGTTATTGCTGGCAACAGTCCCTCTAAGTTCTTGCCATCTAGGACAGAACGATTCCTACCTCATATACCAGGACCTACCAGTGTGTAAACATGCACCACCAGTCAAATGATTAGCCTCTTTTTAAAAAGCATTTATTATGCTTTCTTGAATAATAGTCACACGTTTTATGGTGACTTTTCCAGCCCCCAAATATAGGGATAAGTATTATGAGAATGATGTTTACTTAATGGAGTTTTTGTTTGTTTGTTTGTTTGTTTTTAATGATTAGAAGACCATAAAGACAACGGTATTCTTGGTCTCCCATCATATGCATTGATTCAGAGGGGTAATTGGGTTACACTGAGAGTAAAAGTCCATACTGTTTCAAGTGGTAAAACAGGGGGTTTTCAAACTTTAGCCCCCAATGAAGATGACCATCCCTAGAGGACAGTTAGAGGGCTAGATTTGAGATCACTCCTTTATTTCAAACTGAGCAGCTCCACGTCGATCTGTTTTGCATTTTGAGTCAACAAATGAGATCTTTGTTAAGAAAAAGTGCTTCACAGTGTTGGAAAGCTATTGGAATAAACACAGTGCTCATGAAATCAAACTTTAAACCTAAATGGGGTTGACATCATAATCATAATATAGTAGTTACTGTTTATTGAGCACCTTCTATGTGCCAGATGCTGGGGTAGGGACTTTCCTGCACCATCTCATTTCTCATCACGATACCACTATGAGATTGAGAACTACCAGTCAGGCCGACTGAGTTCAAATTGTAGCTTCTGCCACGTAGCAGCTACATGCTTTGGGTGTTTTCACATCTTTGTGCCTCAGTTTCCCCATCTATAAAAATGGAGATACTGAAAGAATCTACCTCATGGGTTACTGGGAGGCACTTGATGCACATAAAATGCTCAGAATGGTGTCTGGTACTTAGGAAGAGCACAGTGTGTGCAGTTATTACTATTATTAGTATATTATTAGTATATAATACTATTATTAGTATATTCACTTCACATCTGCCAACCCCACATGAGCTAGTTTGCTTCAATGTCTTAGCCACATCTATGTTCTTCTGTCACAGAGTGGTCTGGAAGAGAATTTTTCCCCACTCCAAGTGAGACAACACAACCTCAATGAACCTCTCACATCAGGACTGGAAGTGGCCTGAGAGATGGGGTCCCATATACTCATTTTACAGATAAGGAGACTGAGGCCCAAGGTGCTTCCATATGTCTAAGACATCTTACCCCAGGAATTCCTGCACACGATCCTGGCCAACCCTACATACACAGAAAAATTTTACACACGAGACAAGTGGGGGCCGACTTCTCGCTGCTCTGAGGCATTTACCACACTCTTCCTTAATTGTTGATCCATGTAGCAAAGTTCATGCTATACATGTAAGGAATCTGCCAGAGGGAAAGGAACATTGGTCAGGTGTGTCTCATAAATCTTTTGCTCATTTGGGCAACTTTTATACAGACTCGCGCCATCAGATGAACACTTGAGTGTGTAAGAGCCCAGAAAGCAGCCCAGGAATCTGATCATTCATCAAAGAACTGTGCCAAATAAAATTGGCCACAAAAGACCCGAAGCCTTTGTGAGAGTTCCTGAAATTTATTATTGAGGGGATTGTGGACATGATGTGAATCATATGTGACGATGATTTTTTTTTTTCATATTTAACTACAATAACAAAAAAGGTAGAAGTGTTGCAATGTATGCGTTGAAACTGATTTCAAGGAAAAGCTTTTTTTTTTTTCTGGCTATTCTTCTGTTCTTTCTCATATAATTAGGATTTTTTCTTACATTTGAAATAACAAAAATTGGCCATACAATGGTCTGCATGGCTTGGTGTTTGGGGATAACAAAATGGCATTATTCCTTTCCAAAATTCAGTATAACGTGAGAAATTTCACAAGATTTTTCAGATGGATGTGGTAAATTTGTATTTGCAAAAGAAGTTTTTAAGTGGCAACCCTGGTTTGGAGTGGGAACACTGGGTATATCCCTGAGGAGAGGGATTCTTATCTCATGTTACCTGCTGTATCTCTGGTGTCTATCAAGCCTGGCACATAGTAGTTGCTCATCAATCTGTAGAATGAATGGATGATTATGTCTTCTTCATGCTTGAACTTAGGGAAAATTGATGCTAAGTTTTTTTGAATTTTAAAGTAAGTGTATAAGATGACATTTAAGTGACAAAGTAACAAGCAATCTTGGCTTTGTTTGTTTTGCAGATCTCCCTTTACATTTAAATGCTGCAATGTTTGAGGCTAATGGCGGCTGTGGTTATGTTTTGAAGCCTCTAGTTTTGTGGGACAAGAACTGTCCCATGTATCAGAAGTTTTCTCCATTGGAAAGAGACCTGGACAACATGGACCCTGCAGTCTATTCTTTAACTGTAAGTATGGCCCCTATTGTAAGAATAGAGTGAGGTGGTTATGCCTTCCTGAATATGAACTGGTTTTGAATTCAAGGCATTGCAAAGCTGTCATGTCACAATTTTGGTCACACAGAAATAGTTTCCTAAATAATTTCTTTATCTCCCAGAAAGCAGTAGCGATAGTGGTGTGTACTATCACCAGATACTGTGTTTGCCGGAGCCCAGTAGGTGGTGTTATGAGGTCCCTGCTTCACCAGATGTGCTAATGATAGTAATTCTGTCTTCCAGGGCCCACAGAACAACTACAAGTATATCCCATAAAAGTTGAGCTCCTTGTTAGATCAGCTAATCTTAACCTCCCATAAGCTCTAAGCTCAGATACTGGCATCAGTATACAAATACAATTAGTCATCTTTCCTTCTTATTGTTAACTTTTGTCATTCCTGGGCCTTATTCCTTTTATCACCTCAGTAACTTATTGTCAAAACTCCACAAACTCCCCTTAAAAATAGAGACCTGGTAGCTCTTCACTCAGTTTTACTTCCTGTTCTTTTGCTCCCTCGTAGCTGACAGAGGGGAAAAGAGCTGAGTGCAGGATAGGAAAGAGAGGGAGGGACAAGTCATCTCTCCTACAAAGGAAGAACGCCAAACAGCCCTCTGCTCACTACCCCCCAAGCCCCTGGGATAGCCCCATTCACCAATTTCCCTACCACCCAAACTGCTTTTTCTCTTGTCCTAGGACAATAGGGCAGTGGCCCCTTTTCTATTTGATCATTTAGCTGGATCATTTAGAGTCGAGTGTAGTTTTATCTGTTTACAAAAGTCTATGAATTTATGAATTAACTTTTTGTTTGTTTGTTTAAAAGAGTTAACTTCTGTGGATGGCTGTGCATTAACTTTCGACATGTCTGTGACTTGCTCCAAAAGTAAACTATTCTAGAAAAAGCTTTTGAACTTATAAAATATACTCCTACAGTATTTTGAACAGAACATTAGTAACAAACTTGTGGTTCCCTTTTATAAGGTCTTATTTTCTCTCGCCTTCTATGAGAAACTTAATTTCATCTTCATCGCTTGGTTTTTGAAATTTGAACATTTTGACAGTTGAAAGGTTATAGTTAAGTGAATGTTGTTGACAAGATAGGCTTTGCACATGATTCCAGTCATGGGATTACCTGATTACAATGACTGACTTTTTTAAGAGCAGTTTTATTAATCATTTACCTTGTCCATACCAGTGTTCTTTGTCTTTCTTTGCAGAGGGAAGCAGTGAGGTGCAAAGGTCATCTGTTTCTTTTTCCTCTTCAGTGACTTTGATCCTTTTTCCCCCCCTCAGATTGTCTCTGGTCAAAATGTGTGCCCTAGTAACAGCACGGGAAGCCCATGCATTGAAGTCGATGTCCTGGGCATGCCCCTGGACAGCTGCCATTTCCGCACGAAGCCCATCCATCGAAACACCCTGAACCCCATGTGGAATGAGCAGTTTCTGTTCCGGGTTCACTTTGAAGATCTCGTATTTCTTCGTTTTGCAGTTGTGGAAAACAATAGCTCAGCGGTAACTGCCCAGAGAGTCATTCCACTCAAGGCTTTAAAACGAGGTAGAATAAAGTTGTCCAGATGTTAATCATTGCCATAGCTAGGTGGTGCATGCCTGGAGCTTACTATGATCTTCTTTCTACTTTTGTGTATGTTTGAAATTTTTATATTAATAAGTTAAAGTAAGAGGCAGAAGGAAATACACATTTGAATACTTTTTAAGCACATCTCAAAGGAAGGGTTTTTTACTTTTTTTTTTTTTTTTTAATCTGAGGCATTAACAACATCCCTTGTAAAGTATGGCCTCACCTACCCCTGCTGATGTTGAGAGCAATGGTTGTTAATGCCCTGATTTCCACACATCCCTTCCTAAATAGCACCCACAGCACCCCTGGCACTTTTAAGGCAGGAATTGAAGGAAGGAGAGGAAATGGGGAGGAAGGTGGGCTCGGGTGTTGTGGTGGCTTAAGTGAGCCAAGGTTGGAGTCAGTGCCTGGCAGAAGGAAGTCCCATATTGGAACCAGGGATGGGTGTTAGGTGCTGACCGGGGGAAAGATCCTGAACAAAGGCTAGAGCTGTTGGCTTGTACAGTGGCGTTGCTATGGCACTTTGAGGAATTTCAGCCTGTGCATTGCTTCTCAAGCTTTGATGCGTGTAGGAGTCACCTGGGACTGTTAGTAATAACGTGCAGATCCTGATTCAGTAGGTCTGGGGTGGGGCTTGAGAAGCTGCCTTTCTGACAAGCTCCCAGAGAAGCTGACTCTGCTGGTCTACTTTGAGTACCAGGACTTGAAGTCTGTACTTCCTCCCACACCATGCTCAAGCTGCCCTCTTCTGAGCTCCACAAACACATTACAGCCTCCTACTTTTTGTTCTTTTCCTATTTCTCTTCTCCACTGCACAAGTAGTACATGGTCAGTGCATAGTCTGCTCATGCTGCCGTAAGAAAATACCACAGACTGGGCAGCTTAAACAACAGAATTATACTTCCTCGCAGTTCTAAAGGCTGAAACTTGAAGATCAAGTTGTTGGCAGGTTTGGTTTTTTCTGAGGCCTCTCTCCTTGGCTTGCAGAACGGCTGCCTTCTCACTGTGTCCTCACATGGTCATCCCTCAGTCTGTGTTGTCTGGGTCCTGATTTCCTCTTCTTATGAGGACACCAGTCATATTGGATTAGGGCCCACCCTAATGATCCCACTTTAACTTAATTACCTCATTAAAGGCCCTATCTCCAAATACGATCATGTTACAAGGACTGGGGGTTAGGACTTCAACATTCGAGTGGAGTGGGGAGCAGGGGAGGGGAGACACAATTCAGCTCATAATAGTTATTACAGAAATGTGAGAAAGTACAGAAAAGCAAAAGCAATTAAAAAAAAAATTATCCACTTTTCCATCTCTCCAACATAATCACTTTCAGTGTACATTTTTCACAGGCTTTATTTTTCTGCCCATGTGTATAACACGGGAACATACAGATATATCTTTAACAAATAGGCTTCCTAGTAAACTTAGTGTTTTTGGAACTTACTGATTTTTACTTCCTAATGTCTGCACCAAGCAACTTTTTGTGTTAACTTATATGAGGGTACTTCAAAAAGGTCATGGAAAGAATCATATCATCTTTTGGTTTTTAAGAATAACTTTATTTATTTATTGGCAGCTGGTCAGTCCACATATTATCTTTTTTTTTTTTTTTGTCCTTTTTTTTTGAGACCGGCCACACCGCGCTCAGCACCGGCGGCCATCCCTATATAGGATCCGACCCCGCGGCGGGCGCGCTGCTGCGCTCCCAGCACTGCACTCTCCCGAGTGTGCCACGGGCTCGGCCCCACATATTATCTTTTAATTCTATTTTTCCACGAACTTTTTTTTTTTTTTTTTTTTCCCTTTTATGTCTTTTTTCGTGACCGGCAACAGATCGCAACCCTCAGTGTCGCGCCCGGACCGGACCGGGACCGGCCACGGGATCGCCACCCTCGGTGTTGCCCCCGCCCCTCGCTCAGCCAGTGAGCGGCCGGTCTGTATGTTGGGATCCAAACCCTCAGCGGGAGCGCCACCACACTTCCCAAGCGGCGCACTATAGCAGTGCGCCACCGGGCTGGCCCCTTTCCACGAACTTTTTGACGTGCCCTTGTACATCTACTTACCACTTTTACTGGCTGCATACTATTCCATTTTATACTTACATGTATACTTACATCATAACTTATTTAAGCAGTCCCACATTGGTAGAATATTTTATTATCACTAATGCTGCTATCAGGTGGAATATTTTCAAAAAAAATATTTGCTTTGGGATAAATGATCAGGTTTTCCTATTATTTTTAGTTTGAGTTTAAGGTTTTATTTGTGAGTCTAAGTTAGAAACAGTGGGCAAATTAATTACCACTGGGTGGCCCAAAACTATCCCCAGGGGGTAGGACTCTCCCAGGGAAAAGGTAACTGTTGGTTGCATGTCTCTTGTCATTCTCTGCCCATTTTAAGGTCCTATTTCTACCTGTCATTGATTGACCATGGAGTATCTTCTTTGCAGAGCTCTGTAGCATCTGGTTAACAAGCTTTTGCCAATTCTGCATTATTCCAGGATATCGGCATCTTCAGCTGCGAAACCTCCACAATGAAGTCTTGGAAATCTCTAGTTTATTCATAAACAGCAGAAGGATGGAAGAAAATTCCTCTGGCAGTACCACACCGACCTCTGTGGTAATTAAGTTTTGTTTCATTAAGCATTTTGTGGGGATTGCTACAAATATGAAGGTGGACTTTCTCACGGTATAGCAGAGTGGTGAGTGATAGTTATTCATTAGGCAGCTATGGAAATCGTAACAACAATAATGGCCAACACTTGGCACATTCTAAGCACATTACACATACACCAACACACTCGATCCTCTCAACAACTTCAGGAGGTTACTATTAGTATCATCTCCATTCTACAGATGAGGAAGGTCAGAACTAAGTACGTCTGAGGCCACACAGCTAGCAAGCAGCAGAACAGGATTTAAACCCAAGTGTATCTAGTACTAAAGCCCGTACTCTTAATGAGTAGATCATAGTGCCTGCCAGAGAAGTGAGCCAAAAATAAAGTGGGGGAAAGGCTAATTAAGCAAAGCCTACTAAAAGCATCTCAGTACTCCTAGAAATTTTAGGTTAGACCAGGAAAATCCTTTGTTTTTTTAGCAGTCCCGGGCCAGGTGTCACAGGCAAAGCAGGGCTGGGGTGAGCAGGAAGCATTGCTGGTGAGGCATAACTCGCACCCTGGAGCTTGGGGAGAAGCATAATATGCACCCTTGGGAATGGGAGAGGGACACTGTAAGAAGTACCACCATTGCAGAACCTACATTTTAACAAGTTCCCTGCAAGGTCTGTGCCCATTAAAGTTCAAGAATGCTTGGACCAGAGTTCACCCTACTAATGCAAGGTGGCTTATTTAAATAAGAAACTGATTTAATTAACTCGTTCATTCCACTATGCTTCCTCTTTAAATTAAAAATAAATATAAAAGTGTGTCTATTGATTACCCATTTACATGTTTAATAATCTGATCACTTTTGTATCAATTTTAAACCACAATATAGTCCTAGCAATCTTTGGGAAGGCACCTTCTGTGTACACAATGGCACTGGCTTTGACTTTGGCCTTCTCTTTCCCTCACACCTGTCAGTTTCTTCTCTCTCTGTCCCTGACCTTGTTTTCTCAGGTTTTCCTCCTTTTCCTTTCATTGCTTCACAGCAACCTTGGCTGCATGTTTGTATCACCTGGGAAGCTTTAAAAATAATCAATGGGCCATATCCCACCCCAATTAAACAGGGATCTCTAGGGTGTTCCCCAAGCATGTTTTTTTTAAAGATCTCCAAGTGATTCCAGTGTGCAGTCAAGGTTGAGGACAGCACTTTGGTCAAGGCTGGGGGAGGACTGACAACTAGGGGAAGGGCTGCCTGGTATCCAGCAGCAGGAATCAGATGCTTCAGTAAGGCAGGGCAGAGCTTAGTGCCCAGTGCTGAGTTGGTTGCCCTCAGTATCTGTTAGAGCTGAAGATTCCACAAATGTCATGAATGAACTGGTTTTACTCACAACACTTCTGACACCAAATGTGTGGTGTCTTTCGAACACCACTTTTCCAAATCTCTGATTCCAGCTACTGTCCTACATTCCAATTCAATTCCAGCACTATCTACCTGGAGTTAGTGTCATATCCCACAGGTTAAGGGCTCAGTCCCACAAGACTGCCTCTACTTCAGATGCCAGTCACGAGTCCCAGGTTGTCACCAGGACTTCAGACCAATCAGCTATAAATTCAAGGGGTTCCCACATACCTCTCATCAGGTTTGATAATTTGTTAGAATGACTCACAACTCAGGAAAGTGCTTTACTTACTATTATCAGCTTATTATAAAAGATCCAACTTGGGAACAGCCAAATGGAAGAGATGCATACGATAAGGTATGGGAGCTTCCGTGCTCTGTGGGAGTGGGCCACCCTCCCAGAACCTCAATGTGTTCGCCAACCCAGAAGCTCTCTGAACCCCATCTTTGAGGGTTTTTATGAACATTTTATTATGCAGGCATGATTGATCAAATCATTGGCCACTGGTGATTAACTTAATCTCCAGCCTCTCTCCCCTCCCTGAGGTCTGGCTGTGGGACTGAAAGTTCCACAGTCTAATCATACTTTGGTCTTTCTCAGCCACAAGTCATCTCATTAGCAACAAAAGACACTCTTAGCATTCCAGAGAGTCCAAGGGTTTTAAGAGCTGTGGGCTACTGCCTTGAAGAGAGATGGAACTCAATGGATATTGTGGAATGTCAATTCATAAATAAGGACTAACATGTACTTCAGATATCAGTCCCTAATTATGATGGAAAGAGACACTGTGATTTAAAATAAATTGATATTTTGGTGGTGTGCTGCCGAATATCCTCACTGGAATGTTGAGGAAGATGTAGTGTTCATTGCCTCTTCTACCTCATTATGATGCATCAGGGCTGGCCAATTAGCTCAGTTGGTTAGAGTGTGGTGCCAGTAACACCAAGGTCCGGGGCTTGATTCCCTGCACTGGTTAGCCTCCAAAAAAAAAAAAAAAAAAAATGCATCAGGTTATAAATAGATTCTCATCTTTTGCATTTATATGTCCCTATACATACTTCTAAATACTAGTACTTCTGTGTTGAATGTAGCCTAGAAATATCATGTTACATGGGGTCATCAAAAAGTTCATTGGCAGATTTGTATTTTCTCTTAATTCCATTTTTCCTTGAACTTTTAGAAGTACCCTTGTATTTACAATGAATGAGAAACCATGTGATTTTCTTGACAGATGTTTAATACAGAAGAAAGAAAATGTCTACAGACTTACAGAGTCACAGTGCATGGGGTCCCAGGTCCAGAGCCTTTTACTGTTTTCACTATAAATGGAGGCACCAAGGCAAAGCAGCTTCTCCATCAAGTAAGTCCACTGAGCCCATGGTTGGGAGAATCCAGAGTCTAACATGTATGGATGTATGTGTGTGTGTATGCGTGTGTGTAAGCATACACAGATTCACATAAATACACAAAAGTCCATGTTGATGGTTTACCTTTTAATTATTTGTAAATGTGTTACTCAGCATTGAAATCCACCCTAAGAATGATCTGAGTGATCTTGGTACCACTAGACAAGCTGCCTTTACCTTTTAATTATTTGTAAATGTGTTACTCAGCATTGAAATCCACCCTAAGAATGATCTGAGTGATCTTGGTACCACTAGACAAGCTGCCTTTACCTGTAAAGAAGAATTTTTAACAATTCTTCAGCCACATAAAACATTGGGTTCTAGAAGGATGAAAACCAGAATGAATGACTCTCCAACTATGTATACTCTTTCCCTCTAAGCCTAGTCATGGGCCTCATCTTCCTTCTTAACACAGAGCTTATTAATCAATCAGAATTTTCATATAAGCTGAATGAAGTCTGTTTGCCATCCTAGGAGTAGGACCAAATTCTTGGCACATGACCTTGGCCTTTGCAGTCCTATCCCTTTGGTGGTGTGAAGATGCATGGAGAGCCTAAAACGAGAGTGAGAGCCTGTTACTCCAAGACCTGTAGCAGAAATGGCCTAAGCCCCTTCATGCTTTACCAGTTCTGCTCTGACCCCACCTAGGGATCTTTGTGGCCTTTTGCAGCCAGGCTCACCAGCTATGGGAAGATTTGTAAGGGTGAGAGAGCCAGGAAACAAGCAACAGCATCCAGAAGAGGGTGGACAGCTCCTCAAAAGAGCAAGGCAGGGCCCATCCTTTTCTCTCCACACTAGAAGCTCTATCTCTGCATGGTACAGTGGCCTGATATTTTTGCAGACTATTTTATCCTCAACCCATTTCAGAGTTCCTTCGCCTTTTTGAGGGTAGACCAAGGGGACAACAACCCTTGAGCTCCCTCCAAAGTTGAGTGTATGATGAAATGTAGCTGGGATCATATAATGTATGGGGGAATTAAAAACCCCAGTTGAAACACCATATATAATAAGTATTAACAAATGGCTGTGTCCTTTAAGAGCACATCTCGATGGACAGGCTAACATTTTGCTCAGCATTTTATAATTGACTTAAATAGAGTCAGAGAAAACAGCTTGGGTGTCAAATTTCCCAGATTATCAGACAGAAGCTACTGCCAAGGTTATTTGTTTTTGTTTTCTTCTGTTTTTTTTAATCACCCTGAACTTCAGTGTCCACTATCACAAAGCACTGTTGAGGTTTTGTAAAGTAAGGAAAACTTTCCATGAGCCACCCACAAAAAGCAGCCCATAACTTTATTGTTATCCATGCAGATAGGCACATGGATGTAAAGCAGGACGGAGGAGGGGATGACGCTGGCCCTCTCATGGAGGTGACAGTAGTGATCTCCTAGAAGCTCTACATCCTGAATTATCCCTGTAGTAGTGGTTACATGCTTAAATCATTCTGTTTGCCTTGACCCCCACTGAATCAATAGCACAGATCGATTATAGACCAAGGGCTGTCGTGGAGGGAACAGCATCTTCCTGAGAGTCTTCTGCCCCCACCACCCTCAGTACATTGTGTGACAGCATTAACTCTGGCCTTGCCTCATTGGCAAGGGCCTGAGGGGCAAAGTGTTTGCTTTATCCAGGCCAGATGGTGGCAGCTTTCTCTTGTCACCAAAAGCTACTTCTCACAGTAAGGCAACAAAGGGGGGTTTCTTCACTGTGACTGACCTTTACTCCCATCAAGTTCAGTCTTTTGTATAACCTGTACAATATGAGTGAGAAAGAATACATTAGTGTAAGTAACTAGAACAATGGCTTATGTTTATTGGGTTCTCATAATATACCCATATTATGCTTTATGCCTCAGTCATCAAACAAAACAAAATTAAGATTGTTACTATTACTATTCCCATTTTATAGATGGGAAGGTTGAGTCTCCAAGTGGTTAAGTGTTTTGCCCAACACCTCACAGCCAGTAGGTATTAGAGGCAGACCTCAGACCCAGGTCTGTCTGGCTCCAAGCCTTGTCTCAAACACTGTTTGATTGCACAGTATCAGTAGCCAACAAAGAAAACAACCCTTGAGGCACATGGTCAGGAGTTTATTGCAAGAATTCCCAGGAATTTAGATCATATGAGAATTTAGCCCTGTGAGCCTTCCATAAGAAGATGATTATATCCAACGTGAGAAGAAGGAATTATCTTAGCAAAAGCTATACTAGGTTCTTTGCTGTCAGTCCTATGTTTTAAGGTGACAAAAGGCTAAGTTCATGGAAAGAGAAACCTAGAATTTTTAATTCAGCAGGGGCTCTCACTCCAGCAGTGGGAAAAATAGCTATGCCATCTGGGGATTATGAATAAATTGTGCTGTTGTCCAGGGTGGACATAAACAATGCTTTTTGGACATAAAAGAATTCTTAGATCTTCCAAAAAGAATTATACAGCACTGCAGAATAAGTTTCACTTCTGAATTGCACATCAAACCTTTCTGAACACCATGAAAATAGACCTGTTTTGAATTTTAAGTTTTTGCCCCATTCCTCAGAGGTGTGCTAAAATTTGCCTTCGCTGGGCTGGCCCTGTGACTCACTCGGGAGAGTGCAGCGCTGGTAGCGCCGAGGCCGCGGATTCAGATCCTATATAGGGATGGCTGGTGCGCTCACTGGCTGCACTGGCTGAGCATGGTGCTGACCACCCCGTGCCGAGGGTTGTGATCCCCTTACAGGTCAAAAAAAAAAAAAATTTTGCCTTTGCTTTTTCTTTAGATTTTGATAACTGAACAAGACACCAAACCTATCACCACAGACTATTTTTTGATGGAAGAAAAATATTTTATATCTAAAGAAAAGAATGAATATAGGAAACAACCGTTCCAGAGAGTCATTGGTCCAGAAGAAGAGATCATGCAGATTTTAAGTAGCTGGTTTCCAGAAGAGGGATATGTGGGCAGGATTGTCTTAAAAACCCAGCAGGAGGTAAGTGTGTCTGGGAGACACCTACACAGTAACCACTCATTTGTGATTAACTATCTTTCCACTTACAACCTCCCTCAAATTAAGAATTCCTTGTAACTGCAGCTTGGTTTACACTATTTCTCTTAAGTAAATATGGAGAGGTGGTTTTATTCTTCTGCACATATTCAGAATGCTATCTCTAAGTTGCAGAAATTCAGTCTAAAAGTTATTCCTTATAAAACAAAGGGAGGCTGGCCGTTCACTTGGGAGGGCATGGTGCCGATCACTAGGGTTCAGATCCCCATACCGCCAGCCAGCCACCAAAAAAAATTAAAAACTAAAAAAATGTTTTTATATTAAAAGATATAGGGTTCCTTATGCATGTCATCAGCTGTGGATCCAATATTTTATTTATATGTGCGAAAAGACATTGTTGTGAGGGTCACATCATCATGGGATCCAAGGCCTATAGGTATTTTACATTTTGGGGTTGGTTACCTTTCTGTTAGTGCCTGTTAGAATTTTAACTAACAAAAGGCTCTGAGCTTATAAGCAAAACCACCATAGTTAAAAAAATTTTTTTTCATAACTTCACACAAAGTAAGAATAATCTCTTGGCCTTGGTTGTAATTAGTAAAATTGTATGTTATATGTGCTAATATTCCCGTGATGCAACAGCTGTTGTGTTGACTCCAGATTGGTTGGCTCCTATTTGATTTTGTTGGTGGGACACTTTTTTTTTTTTTTTCCTAAATAAACTGATAAGACTCCACTACCTTACTGCTGTTTTTTAAAATGACCTGTAAGGTCATTGCTCTAGCATAGACAATCATGCCTCATGATATGTGGATAATGAAGCAGAGTCAGTTCAGTTTTGGGGGTTTTTTTTGGCAGCTGGCTGGCACAGAGATCCAAACCCTTGACCTTGGTGTTACAAGAGTTCAAATAGTTGATTCAACAGGTATTTATTGAGCAACCAATATGTACCAGGCGCTGTTCTAGGCACATGATCTCCTTTAGAGCCACCGCCTTCCTTCTCTAACCTAGCCCCAGACCATAAAAGGACACTTAATTTAAGCAAAAAGAAATGTCTCCCCAGCCTCCTCTCTCTATCAGACATACAAACAAGCAGTTCTAATAATAATCACTTTATGAGAAAATATCAGAGGGCTTAGCTGGACTTTTTAAGCCACCTTTAATGTCTCTCCAAATTTTATTCCCTATTCTTAATTATCTTACCTCATTAATTAGCTACATGTTTAAAAGTATCCTCTAAATAGCAATGTCAGTGAATAAGTAGATTTTTAAACCATGTATTTTCATAATTATTTACAGTGTTGCAAGCTCTCAACCACCCACTATTTTGAATGATCTCATGATGTAATGGAAACCATTTTACACATAAGGAAACGGATTCAGAGAAGTTAAATCACAACAGGGTCAGAAATAGAATTGAAGTCTTTTGGCTTCCAGGTTGGTGTTCTTTCTACCATCCTGGGCTGCCCAAGCTGGAATTGTGTCAGTCCTTATGGATTATCCACACCCAGCACTGCAGGAGGCAGCAGGAGCACTAAGGGAGGAAAGACAGGCCAACTGCTGAGTGTCACAATGAGACTTCATGATATGGTCAGCAGGGTCAGGGAGGGGAGGGATGCCCATATGCAACTTGAATGTATATGACAACAGACAGTAGAAACCTCAGGATAGATGCTTAAGAAGGGCTGGTGGAAGAGAAGCATTCTGAAGAAAGAGGAGGATAAATTAGAAGGGAAGGCTAACAAGATCTTTCTGATGAGTAGAATACAGCAAGCTCTCCTTTATGTACCTTTGTTGGGAGGATTTTTTTGTTAGTTTTTTTTTGGGGGGGTGGGGAGCTGGACAGTACAGGGATCAAACCATGAACCTTGGCGTTATCAACACCACACTCTAACCAATGAGCTAATCGGGCAGCCTGGGAGATTTTTGAAATGACTGAAATATATCTCAAAAGATAACAAATCACATTTAGTATATCTAGGTTTACCTAGTGCATAGTGATACCCAATAAATATATACTGACTAAATAAGTAAATTCAGCAATTATTGAATGCAAGAGGGCACAATCATAGTTTACAGATTTGGACTATAAGTATTTTCGCTTGTTTTATTCTGAAGAACTAGTAAGATATATAAGCAGTTTGCCCACATATTAAAAGTCCCCAAATTGCTGTCTGTGACCTACGATCTCTCCTGTCTGCCTTTCATAACTTTCTTGTCTCCTGAGCTGTCAAGCTTTCAGGTACAAGATCTCCTTGTGGTCAATGTGCCCTCCTCTGATGGTTACTGGATTTGAAATCAAACAAACCTGGGCTCTGCCACAAATTAGATGATGCTGAACAGATCACCTAACATCTGTAAACCTTGCTGCCCTGATTTGTAAAATCTGTAATAGAAACTCTCCTTGCTTGACTCAAAAAAATATATATTATGAGACTTATGTCAAATATATAGAAAACATGTAGAAAAATGCTTAGGAAAAAAGGGCCATAAGTAAAAGCTATTGCTATCATGTTCTATTCATAACCTATAGTTAGAGTTATGTGGCTGAAAACTCCTTAAAAGTCAATACACTCTGAGGAAGCTCTAAGGAGCTCTCTTAAAAGTAATGCTTAGTGCATGTTGTTGGGACATTTTATGTGGCAACTTAGAATCTTTTTTGTTTTTTTCTTATTTTTTGCTTCCTGCCTGGTTTTTGGGACACTGAAATTATAAATTATGTTATATAAATTATTCCCCAACCTCACTCTCTGACTGGTTAAATATATTATGATTAATGCAATGACATACTGTGCAGGCACATCCTATTATGCAGTAAGATTTCTAGGAATGGACATGATTTGATGAACACAATCTTTTAAATAAGGAGAAGAAACAAGTTAGAAAACAGCGTAGTGGATTGAATTATGTCCCCCCAAAACTCCTTGAATATGATATGATGCTTGAATTGTGTCCCCCCAAGTCTTATGTATTAGAAACTTAGCGCCCACTGTGACTGTTAAGAGGGTGGGAAATCCTATTATGGTAATTGAAAGGTGGAGTCTTAAAGAGGTGATTGGATTGTAGGACCGTGCAGTAGTGAATGGATTAAAAGTGGTGGTCAGGGGTGTGCTTCTGAGGGCTTTAAAAGAAGAGGAGAGTCTGTCTCTCTCTCTGCTCTGGGTCATTGTTGCCACCACCAGACAGACTTTGGACTTCCAGCCTCAGAAATTGTAAGCAATAAATGTCATTTTTCTTTATAAATCACCCAGATCCATGTATTTGGTTATAAGCAACAAAAATAGACTAATAAAAACAGTATATGTAGGAGAGCACAACCTCATTTTATGTAATAAAAATAGATAACTCTACTTCCTTCTGCCCCCTCACCCATCATAAAATGAATGGGATCCATAAATTCCATCATGTATATTTTAGGGGTACGGTTGCAAGGTTAGTGAAGTGATTGCAGGCTTGTGCAGCTGACTTGCAGGCTCCAGGAGACCATCCTTTCTGCCCCTGGTTACAGTGTGGCACCACCTGGTGGCAGTTATCCATTCTGACTTTAATATCAATGGAAGCAATTCTGGGTCATGTACTTCCAGGACAGTTGCAGCGATTTTTAGATTCCTCTGTTAATTAGCACCATTTCAGTAGCCTGGTCCAGGGTGATTAGGTTAGGATAATGCTGGAGAGAGAAGGATTCTCCCAAATCCTCACTCCTGAGATGGGGTTGCCTACGTTTACTTGCCTTGCCTCTCATTCTCCTTTCTGCCCCCTCTTGCAGAAGATAATTTAAGCTATCCTCATTTGAGAATGGGGGCTGACAAAGAACAGGAGCCATTTGACAATCACGTTATATCTAAATTCACATAATTCCAGAGTTTTGTTGCACATATTTATTCACATACACAAAAATACATATCCATGACAAATGTTTAGAAGGATATATAACCTAACAACAGAGAGGTTTTTTTGTGTGTGTGGAGAATGGAGAGAGAGAAGGGAAAAGAAGTGAGAATGGGAAGTTTTTTTTTAATTGATATAGTTCTGTACTGTTTGAAAATTCTAATAAGATACAAAATCTGTAGATATATATATAATTCATTGAAAGCCAATTCATGGGGCGGCCCATGGCTCACTCGGGAGAGTGTGGTGCTGATAACACCAAGGCCACGGGTTCGGATCCCACATAGGGATGGCTGATTAGCTCACTGGCTGAGCGTGGTGTTGACAACACCAAGTCAAGTGTTAAGATCCCCTTACCGGTCATCTTTAAAAGGAAAAAAAAAAAAGAAAGCCAATTCACCAAAAGCCAAAGAACCTGACGATAAATCTCGTAATGACAGAGAATTTTGTCACTGTTCATTTCAATGTGGCTTACCTCCAGCCACTGTTGCAGCCTTTTCACTGTAGGTTTTGTTCCTCCAGCCTGGTTGTGTGTCAGTTTTGCATGTTTCACATTTCATATGTCCAAGCTTCTTTAAATGATCAAGGTCCATGTGGGAATGAGTGGGCTTTCTCTTAAATGCAATTTACTGTGGGGATTTTTGCTTTTCACTTTTTGCTTTCTGGTTTTTGGAGGCTGGCTGGTACAGGGATCCAAACAAACCCTATTTACTGTGTTCTTATTTCAATTTTGGCAATTGGAAAATAGTATATTGCCTTTCTACTAATTTATCTACAGTTGATTTGGACTCTCAAAATCCACAGTTAATAGGAGGAGATGAACTGGCTTATTCTGGGCCAGACCTTATGGGTCTGTCAGCATCAGCAGAAATATAGTACTTTCTCCCCCTCAGAAGACAGGCATATCTTTTTAGGATAGCTTATGAAATACTAACTAGTATATGAAATATAAAGCTAAGAAGTTTCCACATTACCAAGATACAGTTCAAAGTTTTGCTAGACTTCTCTTTCGTTATTCTGAATCATTTGCCCTTTCTTACTATTTACTCATACTCTTTTTCTTGACACAGACCCCAGAAGAGAAAAGCATTGTTCAAGATGACAAAGAAGTGATCTTAAGCTTGGAGGAGGAGAGTTTCTTTGTCCAAGTGCACGATGTTTCTCCAGAGCAACCTCGAACAGTCATCAAAGCTCCCCGTGTCAGCACTGCACAGGATGTTATTCAGCAGGTAAAAGCCTCTCTCCCTTCTTCCTTCCTCACCTCACTTCTTTGCTCAGTCTAAATTATTGGGACAAATTGATGCCTATGCATTGGCAGCTGATTTTACTGATGAAGCTCTAGAATAATGGGGACCTGAAAAGGGAGAATGTGCCTTTTCAGGCTGGGAAATATTTCATTCCTTCAACAGATACTTAGCTAATAGCCACAATGAGTCTGGATCTCTACAAAGCACTGAAAATAATGGATTTAGAAGGTAGCTCTGCAGCAGAGTGGTAATTTCATTGTCCCAGAAATGCCTGAGCCAGTACCTAATGACCATCTCTCAAGGATCCTACAGAGGACTAGCAGGAGGCCTACACTAACCCTCTCCCCTCCCCTAGGTCATGCTTCTTTGTTACATGGTTTCAGAGAACTATGTTTACTTCCTTTATAGCCTTGTCATGGTTTATATTCATTAAACACCTATTTGAAGGAGGCCTACACTAACCCTCTCCCCTCCCCTAGGTCATGCTTCTTTGTTACATGGTTTCACAGAACTATGTTTACTTCCTTTATAGCCTTGTCATGGTTTATATTCATTAAACACCTATTTGAGAAGTGATATAGCATAATGATTAAGAGCACAGACACTAGATCAAGTTGTTCTAGTTTCAAATCCCAGCTCTATTTCTTACTAACTGAGATTGTGAGCAAGACTGCAGATCTGTGCCTTAGTTATAGTGGTGTGCTGGTAAACTAGCTCTCTTTAAAAAAAAAAAAGCAAGCCCTGATTTGTATCTGTTGTGTAAATACTCCTACCATGTCTGATTTCACTTGCCTGGTCCAGTTGGCTCCAGCACACCATTATGTGGTAAGTTACTACATAGGTAACATGGAGATAGTATGGTACTTTCCTCACAAGGTTGCTGTGAAGATTAAGTAAGTATATGTAAGGAGTTTAGAACAATGCCTACCATATGGTAAACAATACTTTAGTGCTATTTGCTATATTCTTACTGTGTGATCATTTGGGTAATATTAACTTCCTTAATCAACTTTGAATTCCAAAGGGCCCAGATTTATGTTTCTTTTGCTATCGTTGTTTCCTCAAAGTACAGCACAGTATCTGGGACACAGTAGACCCTCAATAAACATTTAATGAATGAATAAATGCATAAATGAAAGATATCCTTATATTAAATGAAAAGAGAGAAGAGATGACTTCTAAAATCCCTTCAACATCCAAGACTCTGTGATAAAGAGGCAGCCCTGTGGGACAGAGAGGCTCCTGATGGGCAGGATTATGTTCCTCACTGGCTGTATGACTTTCATGTGTATGAGCTTTGGTGTATGCAGAAAACCCAGTCTTTATTCTATTACTTATTAGCTGTGCATACTCTGGAATCCGCTTAACCTCTATAAGCTTAAGCTTCCTCATCTGAAAATGGGGTTAAGAACACCTAAATCAGAGTCTGCCGGGAAGCTAAATGAGGTAATGTGGGAAAGTACATCATACAACTACAACTACACAAATGTAAAATAGGAATTGGATGACATGATTCGGAAGATCCCTTCCATCTCTAAAAGTCTGTGCCATTTTTCTACCTTAAAATTTCATTTAGAATGAATGCAAATACTGGAGATACTGTGTCTTATCATAACTTATCTTTCAGACCTTATGCAAAGCCAAATATTCCTATAGCATCCTGAGTAATCCTAACCCAAGTGACTATGTGCTTTTGGAAGAGGTGGTGAAAGACACTACCAACAAGAAGTCTTCAACCCCAAAGTCCTCTCAGCGAGTCCTTTTGGATCAGGAGTGTGTGTTTCAAGCCCAAAGCAAGTGGAAAGGTGCAGGAAAATTCATCCTTAAGCTGAAGGAGCAGGTGCAGGTAAAGCTTCAAGTTATTTTGCTCTTTTCATAAATTATTTGCTATTCATAATCACATCATAATCAAATTTGGCAGCTAGTGAAATCTAGGAGAAAGTTCTTCAGTTCTTGATTTTAATTGGGAGAAAATTGGCTTTGTTTTCACTGTGTGAAAAGAAATGTGCTCCCCTCTGTGATTAAGTAATCCTGAGGGGGAGCCCTTCAGCCCTTCTTTCCACCGCTCTATTGACCAGAGAAGAGGAAAGCCCCTTCTGACATAGTGTCATGTGATTGAAGACCCTGAGTTTAACCTAATACCAATGGAAGGTTCTTTTTTCCCTCAGGCATCCCGAGAAGATAAAAGAAAAATTTCTTTTGCAAGTGAACTCAAGAAGCTCACCAAGTCAACTAAACAGTCCCGAGTACTCACCTCGCCTTCTCAGCTCTTGGTCTCAGAAAGTGTCCAAAACAAGGAGGAGAAACCTGTGGGTGGCTTGTCCTCCAGGGACACAATTGAGTATCGACAGTGACCAAAGGCAGCAGGTTTTACTCAGGTATACTAAGTCACTGCAACATTCTGAAACAGGGTTCAACTTAAATTACTTTGCAAGGCATAGTTAGTATAGTATCTTTTTCTCTTTCCCAAGAGGATGTCTGCTGAAGGCAGGTAGGAATGGTACCTTAAAACAGGAAAAGGGCTCTGAAGATTTATGTAACCTGAGCTTTTATAATTTTATACCTCTCTATTTTTGTAGATAACTAAGCAAAGTCCCCAAGAGAACAACCAACTTGTCCAAAGTACCACAACAGCTTTATTTCATCAGACATAGGACTGTATTAACTATTAACTCACATGAACATTCTCCAGGGGCTCTGTGGATCATTCAGCTTTTATTCCTTTGAATTCCTAGTTTTATGTTGCTCTAATTTAGGTTTAATTTAGCCTCAACAACCTCATCTCCTTCTGCCTCAATTAAAAAAATAAAAACCTGGCATCCAAGATGTGATGGTTAAAAAGAAAGCAAAATAACCTAGCAGCCTCCATCTTGAAAAATGCAGTAAATTTACGGCTTCGGTTGCTGGCTTACTGCTTGGTATTCACATACAGGGTAACCTTCATTCTATCTTAAAGCAAATTATTTATATGGGACCCGAAGAGAAGCATGTGAGGGGACCAACCATAAGTTTCTTCTTTTCACTTAGTTTCTTAATGAACCTAAGGGATCATTAAAACCCACTTTTCACCTGTTCCACTGTAGTTCTAAAATTTAAAATTCGCAAGAGACCACACACTTAGTGAAAGCACTGCTGCTTGTGTTACAGAGCTTCACCATCTGTCTTGATCACAATCAGGAATTTCTCACATAAACTTGCAAAATTGCAGGAGCTTACAATTAAAGAATTCACTGATACCTCTCAACAGGGCCAAATTTTATTTATAGCAGCCTAAAAGAAAGCCCTGCACATTGAGATCAATCCTCCTTAATGTTTCTACATTTAAGGAGGAACTCCTAAAATAATTGGTGCCCCATATACTAGCAAAATTCTTTCAAAATAACAGGCAAGCCCAAATGTTGGAAACGGCCCCTTCCAAAAACATCTACATATCCATCTATTTCAAGAGATTCAAGGTTGTTGAGGTTCTGTATGCAAAAACTCAGAAAGAAAGCTCACAATGATGGCAACAAAACCTACATCACATAGCATCAAATACTAGTGAGTGTGCATAGAATAGTGAAGCTCTGAAGAGATTCAGTGCTCCTTTTTCTGTTGATATACATCTGGTATCCCAATTTTTAAAGTTTAAGACATTTTCTTTTCTGCTCCTCTTCTGCTGAGACAATCATTACCTCCTCTGAAAGCCTAGTGAGCTTTAGGACTAAACACCAATGTTGAGCCTCTCCAACTTTTAGAAAATGCCTCGTCATGGTAGTGGGTCTGTGAGCGTGCCATAAGACAGTGATCAGAATTTTATGTTTTCCATATCCAGAACTTAGTATCAAATAAATCATAGGTGTGAGAATGTTATACACACCTCTATAACTCCTGCAGTGATAGAATGAAATTACCCTAAGGCTGGTACATCGGTCATAAATGCACTACTCTACATAAAGAGCCCTTTGTGTATAAGATTACATTAAGTACATAAGAATACAACTCCACTAGAAATTTGACTTTAAAAATATGCATACTATAATGAACGTTACTAATTGCTTATATTTTAGGTAAGTGGGGGGAGTATGATTGTGATTTAGATGATTCCCATTGGATTCAATTTTCATGTAGCAAGCAGACATTTAGAATCATTTAGTTGGGGCCGAGCCGTGGCGCACTCGGGAGAGTGAGGCGCTGGGAGCGCAGTAGCGCTCCCACCCGCCCACGGGTTCAGATCCTATATAGGGATGACCGGTGCCACTCACAGCGCTCACTGGCTGAGCACGGTGCGGCCGGTCTCAAAAAGGACAAAAAAAAAAGAATCATTTAGTTGACTTCTGTCTTAGTCTCTGAAACTGGGTAATTTATAAAGTAAAATTTATTTCTTACAGTTTCAGAGGCTGGGAAGTCCAAAGTCCAGAGAACACATCTGGTGAGGGCCTTCTTGGTGGGTAGTGACAAGTCACAGCAATGCAGGGTGTCATATGGCAAGAATGGTAGGAGCAAGAGAGAGATTAACCTCACTTGTTCTCCTTTTAAAACCATCAGAGGGCCGACCCCGTGGCTCACTCGGGAGAGTGTGGCGCTGGGACGCAGCAGCGCTCCCGCCGCAAGTTCGGATCCTATATAGGGATGGCCGGTGCGCTCACTGGCTGAGTGCAGTACGGGCGACACCAAGCCAAGGGTTGCAATCCCCTTACCGGTCACAAAAAAGACAAAAAAAATAATAATAAACAAACAAATAAAACCATCAGAACCACAGCCATTGCTCCATGAATGGCTCAATCCATTCACAAAGGTACAGTCCTCACAATCTAATCATCTCTTCAGGGCCACCTTTCAATTATAACAGGATTTCCCACTCTATAAACAAATAAAACCATCAGAACCACAGCCATTGCTCCATGAATGGCTCAATCCATTCACAAAGGTATGGTCCTCACAATCTAATCATCTCTTCAGGGCCACCTTTCAATTATAACAGGATTTCCCACTCTCAACATTGTCACAGTGGGGATTAAGTTTCTAATACATGAATCTTTGGGGGACATATTTAACCCATAGCAACTTCAAAGCTTTGCTTAAAGTTGGAGAGGATTCTCTTTAAAAATAGCCATTGGTGCAGCAATGGGATTTTATATCCCATGTTATGACCTCCTTTCTTTACCATGGTGTTTGCAAGAAAGAGCATTTTTTTTTTAAAGGCCTTTCTGTATATGCTTATAAGTATTTTTGCCACTGAGTGACATGTTTTTTCTAAAATGATCATATATAAAGTTTCGATGAGAATCTAAGAATTTCTAAGCAAGCTGATATTCATCTTATTCTTATCTGAAGTAATAGATCACAGTGAGTTGAAGGAATTCCACTTTTTCTTAAAGTTGAACAGTTTATATGAATGTGATTTTTTTTAAAAAAACTTTCTAAAGAATGTGGTGTTCCAGTGCAGAAATAGCCTAATGTTCTACCTCCTGGGAACATAATGTTCTAACTTTGTAAGCTCATAGGAAATAATCTCTCCCTAAAACCTAGCTGTAGGTTTCTGTGGGTTGAACTACTCTTAAACTCTTGCTACACTATAAATGTTTCTGCTTCTTCATCTTCAATAAATTAATAAAACTATGTATACAAAATTACAGGTGAAGATCCAAAGTTAAAGTCAAGAAAGAACACGGTGGACACAAATATAATTTAACTGGAAATTGATGGTTTCTGAACGGAAGGCTGGAAGGCTTCTTCACACAAGATGCAAGGTCCATGCTGAGGACAAGCAAAATGACAGAGGTAGTAGCTACCAACCTATTTACTGATGAATGAAGCCAAGAAACCCAGGTGATTGCCATTTTACAAATGCTAGCAGTTGGAACACTAAGCTTGCAATAATTGATTTAGAACAAGAGTTAACAAACTTTGTAAAGGGCTGGAGAGTAAATAATTTAGGGTTCGGGGGCCATATGGTCTCTGTTGCAACTACTCAACTCTGCTGTTGTAATGCAGAAGCAGCCACAGACAATGTACATGAATGGACATAGCCATATTCCAATAAAACTTTATTTATGGACACTGAAATTGGAATTTCATACAATTTTCATAAGCCACAAATATTCTTGTGATTTTTTCAACCATTTAAAAATATAGAAACTATTCCTAGCTCAAGGACCATACAAAGAATGGTGGCAGGCTGGATTTGGCCCATGAGCCATAGTATGCCAACCTGACTTTAGAGAACCAGGAACAAGAGGTGTGTGGTCTGAAGACAAGAAAACAAGTTTAGCCATACATTTTATGGCTGATATTTTGAAGCTTTTGGGCATTGCAAATGTAAATATGTCCTATAACATAAAATTCATTGAAAGTAATTCAATTTACTTCCTATATTGTGTACCGTAGTGCATTCTTCTTTAGGATTTCTTTTTACATATAAAAATTATATATATATATATATATACATTTTTTTTTAAGGTTATTGCTTATATATTCACAGATTATTCCATTTCTGGTTTCCACAAAATGAATTTAGGAGGATGTATAATATCTACTAAGTTGTGATGTCCTAACAAGAAACCTAACCATTTTTTAAAAGCAAAAGTAGACTGAGTTGGTAAGGTAAATTTATTTATTTTGCAAGGTTTGTACTGACACTGTACTTATTTATTACTCATAGCTTTCTTGATATCGTTATGGATTAGAACTAGCTTTAGTGGTTCTGTCTCATTTGAAAGAAAATGCTCTGAAACATCTGAAATAGGCAAGACTTTCATGTAAAATAGCCTCATCTTCATTTCTAATTAACTGAAAAGCTAGAAAGAAAATTCTCTGAACATCTGAAATGGGTAAGACTTCCATGTAAAATACTTTCATCTTCATTTCTGATTAACTGAAGAGCTATTGATCCAATTTACCATTTAATGTAAATTCTGTTTAAGACCTTGCTATACAAAACTATCACCTGAGTACAAAAGATTCTTCTTATTCTTGCTATGAAACAAATTATGACCTTTAAAAATGAAATGTTCCTCTAAAGTAAAACCCAAATTTTATCTTTCTATAGGTATCATTAAATTATAAAACATTTTTCCTCAAATTATAAAACAAAAACCCTACCTTTGCTTTGAGATTTTGTTTTTTTTAACCAATTATAAAAATGAATAAAACAATCCTTATTTTTCTATATATTCTAAAAACAGAACTGTTAAAAATATACCACACAGCTTTCATGTCATTGCAAGTTCTTACTGAGTCAAGGCCTTAATACTAGAAGAACCATCATTTTCTTGTCAACAGAATTCAGACTATTGCAGTTTGAAGTTTGTACAATGCTACAGGTTTCCTTTTAAATGAAATAATCAGTCTGTAAAAAATGCACAATACTGCCCTTTTATAAAAATATTCTGAAAACACTTTATCAGGCTTCTATAAACTAGTAGGCCAGACGGTTTGGCTTACCCTGTGTTGGAAACAGTTACTGGTCTAACTGGCCCAATGAAAACTGCAGAGTAACAAGATGAAAAGCAAGACTGATCTCTCTAGGTTTATCACTTGGCTTTAACACTTTCTAAGCTCCACCCTACCCTAACTCCTATGACCTTTATCAGTTGTTGATTTGGCTACAGCACAAATGTGAAACTTACCCTGAAACTGAATGTGAGCCTAGGTTGTTTACCAAGTGAGTGAACCCAACCTATTGCCTATGTTACATGCCAATTTGGTTGTTCATTACATTTTGAGGCAAAGGTACACTATTATATTTGAGTCTTTGGGATTTTAGGAAGAATACATTGCTTGAAAATGGAAGGGGTCTACTCTACTATTATATTATACTTGACCAGCACAACCTGGTGTTTGCCAAAAATATAAACTTTTTAATTAAAGTTCATCTGAGTTATATAGCTATATTAGTATACCAAATGAAAGAAATTATCCTCTTATTTAAAATGCATCTTAAATAGCTATTGGGACTATACCTACTACCATTTCACACTTTTTAGGCCATAGTAAATCTGGATAGCAAACTCTTATCAATAAAGTTGATATGAAAAATAATCTAAATATGCATGCTGGGTTTTATTACAGTACTTTAAGAAGCTTCACTAAGTGAAAAATAAGCTGAATTCTGTCACTGTTAAGTGACAACCAACTTTTTAAAAAAATCAAACAAAAAAATTTAATATTTTTTTTTCTTTTAATTCCAGTGCGATGTGTGAGCTGGAAGTAATAGAGATTTCCTCCCATCTGGAATTGGTTGTTTTGCAAGATGAGAAGTTACTAGAGGTTGTTAAGGAATTAGGGATAGCGGGGGATAAATCTGTAGGAAGTAATGATCCTATCTGGACAGATAGTGTCCTCTTGAGGTAAAGCCTTTTTTCAGGTCATCCTCAGCAAGTAAAAGTTATTTACAAATTCTCCAGCTGGGGGTAAATATGAAGTCTACACTCAACAAAAGCTGAGTTACAAGTACCTTGTTCTTAATCAACCTTGCTTTCATAAAGGGCTCCGATTTCAATGGCTCTGGAGACACTGGAGGCTTATTAATGAAAGTGGACACCCTACAATATGTACCAGTTTCCCCTTTTTAACTACATTTTCCCTTTCCTTTGTTCTTTCTCCCCTTCCAATATCTATGTAAACTCTCCTCTTCTTCTGAGATATCCATAAATAAGCCTTGCTTAATTCTTAAAAGTAATTAGGGCTTGCTGACAAGTCTAGTAAAATTGAATTCTAAAACACAAAGTTCCATGCCAGTAAAGAAGAGTAGGATTTTCATAGCTAGTGTCTTCGATCTTATACTTGGCAGAGTAAGAGGCAGCCTAGAGAGAAGAGTGCTCTCAATGTAGCTGTCTCTGACCCCTTGTTGCTTCTCACATCATTAGTAAGGCCAGAAAAGATGAATACCTGGGCCCCCAAAATACAAAAAGGAGATTGCCTCTTACACAGACTTGCATTAACATTTCCATGATCCACTGTCAATAACTTATGTGTTCTCTACCATCTCTATATATCAACTTCCTAAAAGCAGTCCTTGGCTGATGGCTAAGGATTTTGACATAGGAATACCTGAAATGAGTATCTTTGTAATACATACTGAATTTCCATGATTACCAAGCTATTCTTATATATCTCTTAGACTCAAAACATACTATGCTCAAGCCTGCCACCATGCAGTCCTCTGAAACCTTATTTCAGATGACATAGGTCTCTGATTTTGACACTGAATTGGGTAATTGCACATTTTTAAAAAGTGTTGTGTGAAATGTGAATGATTTGACTCAGCATGAAAGACCATGGAAGACAGACTGTATCTTATACCCACTATTACCCCACCTCACTTTTAAAAGTGCCAAGCATAGTGCTAAGCACATAGTAGGTGCTCAGTATTTATCTAGCTAAAAAACATCAAGACTGTAGCTTAGTATAGCCTCAAAGTGTGGGTATGTGTTTGTGTGTAAGGTTACTAACGACTACATTTAGTTCTGAACATGAAACTCATCAATATAAGGTTATAGAAGTTAATGCACAAATATATTTCATCCTCAAATTCATATAGAATATTGAAATACTAGATGTATAATATTATGATCCCACTGTGATTCTATGTGTAACAAGAAAGTTAAAGGCATAATACAAGCTTAAAATAGCTGATGAATTTCTATTTTAAACTGATTTTTCACCTAAACTACAGTTTCTGCTGCCAAAGTGAAGTACAAATGTATTTGTATATGTTTGAAAAATAAATGATTTGTACATGTATTGGTCACTTGTGATCTGATGGGGACAGACCCTTTGGTTATGCAAACATTTTTTAACATTCCTGCAGTTTGTCATATCTAAAAGGTAGGTTAAAAGCAAGTATTTATACGCTGACTCATACCTTTATCATTAAACAATCAAGCCTAAAAAACTTTGACCTCAGAAACTTTTTATTTATAATCTGGCCACTGAAACATGCATTTCATAGGCCATTCCAAGAATATGGGAATATCTGTTACATAAAATATTGCTTTATAATTATATTCAAAACAGGCATTTTACCAGCATGAAGGGGGGGGGAAAGCCCCTTTCTACATACCCTCTATCCCTAAAACATAATGGTAAAGTCTAGGACTTGGCTTTTCCACCCTGGAGTAATTCTTCTGCCATCACCCTTCAGGACATGTCAGAAAATGCAAAGAATTTCAAAGAAACAAAAACCCATTCAAACTTTGTTTGAAAGTAATCATAACACTCATCCTTTTTAAAAAAGGGTCAAATTAGGTTATTTCTGAGGTTTATCATTCAGCAAGAACCAATGAACCTGGGTCCAGTTTCAAACAACTTTTAATTTTCTCAAAAATCTTTGTAAAAATATATTCACTCAAATTTAGAATGTTTCTCACTTCCACTTATGGTATTACAATAAAAATAATACTTAAAGAGTATTTAGTTAAGAAGAGTAGCTAAATGGTAAAAAACATTCTTACAGTCTTGATTTTTCTGTGGTCTATGCTGTACTTTTAATATAGCAACTGCATTTCAGTAAGATCCAGTCCACAGACTTTTTTAAAAAACTATATGTACATTGTTTTAAAAAGGCAGCATCATTAAGAAAGAAATTTACAAATATTGGGGGGAGGGGAGAGGCTTGCAATTCTTTCTTAATGAAATTACATTTTCAGAATTGGGGCAGAACCCTGTGCCATGCAAAGGGTAATAACTTCCTCCTCTTACAAATCGTTCTTATAAAGTTTTCCTTATATAAAAAGAGAAGGTCCTAAGTTAACACATCTTTATGTGTATCTGCACACCCACAAATGTACAAGAAAGTCCACTGACTTTTTATTCTTCTACTACCGTGGAGATGTTTCCAAATATTTGGTGAAATCCAGGGGTGACTGAGTAGCAACTTCATTGCAATGTTTTTTGATTAGTTGATTTAAATCTTCATTCAAAAATGAATCCCCTTGTAAAACTTTATCCTGGAAAAATATTTAAAGTATGTATTAAAAGTTACTTATGCCATAAGCAAAAGCCAGTCTGTGAGCAAAGGTGAAAATAGCAGCTGACACCAACACATGAAACATGAAACATAATAATGACAGATGCTTAGTCAGGTCTTGCACAGATCCTCTACTGAATGAAACAGTCTCATGACCATCTCTACAGAATTCCAACCCCAGATATCCATCCTACCATCAACTCCTAAACCTGTAAAAATAAAACAGTTAAGCAAGCTGGAGTTAGAGTTATTAAAAAAGAAAAGTATCACATACCTTCTTTTTGAAGTTTGATGTTTCAACAGGGGGATTGAATGTCATTGCTGCCATGCTGTAAGCCTCAAATAGTTCAGCAGCAGATCTATAATCATAAGAAATGTAAAGATATCACCATATCTGTATAATTCAAAAATAATCAGATTATACTCAGAAAATGACTCATTATTCTAAACCCATATATTAAGGTACTAGGGTACTTCAAAGAGTTAGTGGAAAAATAGAATTAAGAGATAATATGGAAGCAGAAAGATCTCAACACATAGCACAGTGTCTGGCATGTTACTGTTGGTAAATTAATGAGTGAATAATGAATTTTTTTAAGGAAGAACCTTACCTTATTATGATTTATACAGATCTTTAAATAGTACTTTCATTTGAGTATTATTTTTAATTAAAATACCACCTCAAAAAAAGCAACCACAGTCAAGGTGGGGCCACTAGAGCTCAGGGAAAGAGGAGGAGAGACCTACAGAGTTCATGAAGGCAGGAGAAGCCACAATGAGAGAAAGAAAAGATCGCTCCCACATTTCAAGCTCCAGCCGCTTCCAACCTGGAGCTGGTGAGCGCACAGACCAAGAGCTGGCAAAAGCCACAGCTGTGCCCTTCAGATGAAGTTGCTTGGAGGCGGCAGGGAAGAAGAGGGCCTTCGTGGCCCCCAAGATAGCAAAACCACTAACAGGGTTCCCGTGAATGCACATAGGAGCAAGGAGCCACAACAACTAAAAAAAGGAGCCACTCAGAGGCCAGTGAGTCATTGCAAGGGATCAGTGCACTTCTCATGGGAAGTGTTTGGAGTGCCGGTGGTGGGGGAGAAAGATCACCAGGGGAACACTGGGGCACAGCAAGGACAGCTAATCTACCCCCCAATCAGCACAGGACCACTCACAGTGGAGACTGGTCAGGAATACAGAACTGCAGGGGGGGCAGTTTGCTGAAAAGTCTCAGGCCCAGACCAGACTTTCCACACAAGCCAGGTGTACCAGAACACACAAGACCTGGAAGTCAACAATTAAAACCTGAGCTGCACAAAAAGCCTTCCTCAGGGAATCAGTAGAAAAGCAGCAATTTAGCTCAACTACAGGGCTCAAGTGCTGTTCCCCCAGGAAGTTCCTCCATTTTAGAAGTAAACAAAGTACAACAAATTAGTTTCAGTGCAGAATTTAAGTGGTGGGAACAGCAAATAATCCAACACAAAACTGAGAGAAAAAAACAAAACACCCACAGATCAGAGACAAAGTTTGATATTAACTAGTAAAGGTCTAATACCACCAAAGAACACCTATAAAACCTGGAAGGACTGGAAGGCCCCTGGGCTCCCAAGCCAGGGAGCAGGGAGGGCTGGGGGCCTCAGTCATGCTCCCACAACATCCACAACCAGCCCAGCATAGGCTGCTGCAGGAAGCACCCTGGGCTCCCAAGCCGGCGCAGTTGGGGGGCCGAGGGCTTCAGCCATGCCTCCTTGACATCTGCATCCAGCCCAGCAATGACCAAACCACTACTGGAGCCCCCTTGTCTGAGGGGGTGCAAAGGGGCCTCAACCATGACCCCCCTCCTTCCTCCTTCCCCATTCTCCTCTCCCCCTCCCCCACAACTGCTCTGCAACATCTGAGAATGTAAAAAATAAAAACAATAAACTTAAAAAGGAAAAAAAGAGATAATACAAATCTTTCCATGAACTTTTTGAAGTACTCTCGTATAACATAGTCCTGCTTTAAAAACAAACCAATCAACCAACCAACTCACTTAAAATAAATTCTAAGTTCCTATATAATGTCAACATTATCAAACAAAATCCACGTCAGACAGGTCTGGTATACATTTAGAAATACAGGCCTGGAGCACAGAGAGAAAGCCAAGAAGACCTCTGGCTCAGTGTGATCAAATCCCAACTCAACCATAGTTATATGAATGATATGCAACTACACCTAACTTAGTCACAGGAGCCAGAGTGAAGAATGGAGTTATCCTCCATGGGCTTCAAACACAGCTTCAAACAACACTTTGGCTGTTGGCCTGGATGAAAAACAGGGAGAGGCCATTCAGGACAGAATACATGTCTATACCCACAGTACGTAAATGAATCCTTCATGATTTGGGATTAGTTCACATTCTCCAAAGGAGACAGGCAAGGGCCTGCAAGGGTTAAAATTAGGCTGACATCCCAACCTCCATTCTCCAGGAGAAGATGACTATGAGTTTCCTTTCTCAAGCCTTGGGGACAAACCCATTCTTCATCTCCCTCCAGAAAAGGAAGACAACTGGCGTAAAAGAGACAAATGTTCAAGACTACTGACAAAAAGATGCCAGAAAATGATCATTTAAAAAAAAGTGATAGAGAATTGTTATCTCCTTTTTCTCCCTTTTAAAAAACAAGGTGGGGGGGATGGGGACAGGTGAGAAGTGTGAGGGAAGGAAAACATAAATGGCCATTATATTATTTAATAAGGCCAAAAATCATCTGTATCCTACCCAGAAAGAAACTGCAGAATTCATGCCTCATTTACAGGTGGCAGCAGCTAACCAACTACTGCCAAGTAAAAATACAGGCCAGTGTTATCAAATCTCCCTGTATTTTAAGAGATGCTGGAAATGTGAATTTTAGGTGAATTTTTCCAATATCTAAAAGATAGCAATTAATTTAATTTTCATTCAAACTCTGAAAAGGCCAGAAAATCAGCATGGCCCACAGGTTACCTGTGATCTCTGAATTAAAGAAACCAGTGGGCTTGCAAAGGAGAAATATCTACAGCAAATAACAAAATGTTGATTCTGAGTAGTGGATACATTCCAAGGTGCTATGGTTTGAATATGTCCCCTCCAAAATTTAGGTGTTGAAACTTAATGGCCAATGTGATGGTATTAAGAGGTGATCAAGTCAAAAGGGCTGCTCCTTGGTGAATGGGATTAAGGCCCATATAAAAAAGGCTTCAGGCAGCACTTGGCTCTCTTGCCCTTCCACCTTCTGCCATGTTAAGGACACAGTGTTCCTTCTCTTTGGAGGATGCAGCAACAAGGCACCATCTGGGGAGAGGCCTTCACCGGACACTAAACCTGCCAGCACCTTGATCTTGGACTTCCCAACCTCTAGAACTTAGAGAAACAAAATTTCTGTTCTTTATAAATTATGCAGTCTTGGGTATGTTTTTTTATAGCGCCATAAATGGATTAAGACATAAGGTTATCTTTTATATAATTTTTCTCTCCTTTGCTGTATAATTGAAGATTTCCTGATTTTGTGTGAAAAAAGGTAATTATTATTTTCAATTTTTCCATACTTCTGAAAATTATCACAATAAAAAGTGGGGGGGAAAGAAACTTCTTTGAGGAGGACTCTTTTCCCCATCTGTAAGAGTGTGAGGTGGATGCTGGAAATACACAACAAAATTTGCAGGTAGGGAAATACTCCTGCAAGGGTAAGGAAAGAAACTGCTACCTTTCTGGTGGCAGTGTTCCAAAGCACCTCTTTTTTTCTTCTTATTTTCTCCTTTCCTTTCTCTAGCAAGACCATTCAAAAATAAAAGAGGGGAGGCTTACGGTCAAGATGGCAGAATAGATGGTCCCCAGCATCACTCTCTCCCACAAATCAACCAATTTATGACTATTAAAAAGCAACAACAGCCAACTGGGGCTGGTAGAGCTCAGGGGAAGAGGAGGAGAGACCTACCAAGTACATGAAGGCAGGAGAAGCCATGATGAGTGATAGAGTTTGGATGTGTTCTCCTCTCCAAAACTCATGTGGAAATTTGATCTTCAATGTGGCAGTGTTGGAAACTGATTGAGTCATGGGGGTGGATCCCTCATGAATGGATTAATGCTCTCCCTGGGGGAGGGGGGATTAATGAGTGAGTTCTTGCTCTATTAATTCCCGCAAGAGCTCGTTGCTTAAAAAGACCCTGGCACCTTCTCTCTCAATCCGCTGGAGCTGGGATACACTCTTCTCTCCTGTCCGTGGACATCAGAGCTTGAGACTCTTCAGAGTTCCAGAACTTACACCAAGGACACCATCAGCTTCCCTGGTTCTAAGGCCTTTGGACTTGGACTGAGCCATGCTACCAGCATCCAGTTTATAGACAGCCTATCATGGGACTTTTCTCCATAGCCACGTGAGCTAATTCCCCTAATAAATCTCTTTCATATAATTATAACATATCCTATTGATTCTGTCTCTCTGAAGAACCCTGACTAATACAATGAGAAAAAGAAAAAACCATTCTGACCGTTTCGAGCCCTGGCCACATCCAGGCTGGAGCTGTTGAGCGCACAGAGCAGGAGCTAGCAAAAATGCAACTATGCCCTCCGGATGTAGTCGTTTGGAGGTGGCAGGGGAGAAGAGGGCCATGGTAGCCCCCAGACCAGCAAGACCACTAACAGGGTTCCCATGGACCCACATAGGAGTGAGGAGCCAGAACAGCTGGAAAAAAGGAGCCTCTCAGTGGCTAGCAAGTCATTGCAAGGGACCAGAACATGGCCTGTCCCACGGGAAGTGTTTGGAACACAGGCAGTGGGGGAGACAGGCCCATCGGGGGAACACTGGGGCACAGCAAGGACAGCTGATCTGCACCCTAATTAGCATAGGACCACTCAGAGGAGACCGGTCAGGAATACAGAATTGCATGGGGTGCAGTTCAACAAAAAGACTCAGGCCCAGACCAGAGTTTCTATACAACCCAGGTGCACCAGATCTCTCGAGAAGTACCTATAAAGTCAAGCATTAAAACCTGAGCTGCACAAAAAGCCTTCCCTAGGGAATCAGCAGCAAAGCCGCAATTTAGCTCAACCACAGAGCTCAAGTACTGGTTCACACAGGAAGTTCCCCCATTTTAGAAGGAAGCAAAGGACAAACAAATTAGTTCTAGCACAGAGTTTAAATGGTGGGAACAGCAAATAATCCAACACAGAAATGAAAGAAAAAACAAAGTACCCGCAACCAGAGGCAAAGTTTCATATTAACTAGTAAAGGTCTCATTTCACCAAAGAACACCTATAACACCTAGAAGGACTGGAAGTCTACTGGGCTACCAAGCCAGAAAGAGGGTAGGGCCAGGGGCCTCAGCAATGCCCCTCAACACCCGTCACCAATCCCCAGGGTGGAGGATGACGGCCTCGGCCACGCCCCAACACGTGCAGCCAGCCCAGTGACAACCACCAAGCCGCAGCAAGAAGGGCCCTGGGTTCCTGAGCTGGGATGGTGAGGAGCAAGGTCTTTTGCCACACACCGCTAACATCTGCACCGAGCCCAGCAATGACCAAGCCACTGATGGAAGCCCCCTGGTCTCCCCTGTGGGAATGAGGGGAGTGCCATAGGCCTCAATCCCCCCCCTCCTGCTTCCTCCTTCTCCATCCCATTTAGTTCCCCTTTCCCCCTCCCCCTTCCTCCCAACTGCTCCACAACAACATCCTAGAATGTAAAAAATAATATTAATAAAATTACATTTTCTTTAAATAAATAAATAAAATGAAAGCAGAAGTAAGGAAGCTCACTTTGGTCAGACTTGTGGTTTATCTTCACATATAAGCAAATCTGGCAATATCTTAATTGCTGAGCCTGAGTGATGGTGGCCATATGAGAATTCACTATACTATTTTTCTGTATGCGTGAAATTTTCATGATTAAAAAAAAAAAATTGTTTTAAGTGATTACCCAAAACTAACAAAATCACAGCCAGTGTTTTCTCTTCAGAACAATTCAGGGGCCGAGCGCCTCAGCGCTCCCGCCGTGGGTTCGGATCCTATATAGGGGTGACCGGTGCGCTCACTGGCTGAGCGCGGTGCGGCCGGTCTCAAAAATGAGAAAAAAAAAAAAAGAACAATTCAGGAAAATGAATTGAAACCAAATCCAGATACCCAAATGGCACTCTACATTTTATAATATTATTTTTATAAAACAGACTTATAGTAAATGGCTATCCCATGAGTTTTGTAGTTTTAGAAAAAGGCAATGCTAAATATTACCTGCGGCTCAATTCTGGCTTGAGTGCTTCAGAGCCTTCAGAAGGTGCTCCAGCAATCAGGTGAGCTGCAAATCTCTGCACTACGGGGTGGTAATGTCTCTGAAGAGGAAACAGGACAACCACATTTTGCACAGGTCAGTACTTTACAAAACACTAGCTACAGCAGCAAAGATTTTCTTTAACAAAATTACACCAATTTTTAAAGAAAAAAACCTTAGATGTATATGTAATTCATGAGAACCACATACCTATAGAAGGAATGTCATCTTTGCTCACAGAACTGAAACATAAGTCTGTTCGAAGACCAAGTTACCACTGATGGAGCTTAATCTTGCTTTTACAGTATAAAAAGAAAAATCAAAAAGCAATTTCTCTTTCAGAGTGAAAAAGGTTAGTTTACAGTTTAAAGGTTACCTGACACTTATATTTTTACAAGTCTCACCCTAATGCCTTCCACACTGCAGGACCACAAATAGGTGAAACCACCTTGAAACAGGGCCTATAAAAGTTTCTTTGGATAGGGCTCAATACAAATGTACCTGAGAACAAATCTCTTCTATTCTGAAGTGTTACGGAAACATTTCAATAAATCTTCCACAACCTCATGCTACAAAACTGTCATCATTTTCTTAGAATAGCTTAGAGAATAATGAGAGCAAAATAAAATGTAGCATATTAAAAAACAGGAATTCTAAAAAAGACAGTCCCAGAACAAAATATATTAAGTACTCTGGAAATAATAACTGAAGAAAAATAAACAAATTGCTCACAAAAAAATTTAAAAATACGACCACTCTTACCCTCAGTGCATGCAATTCCCACAGAGCAGTGTTCTGTGCATTACAGTACTCAGGTTCATCCAGCTCAGGAAGGAAAATCCCACTTCCCTGAGATTCATTATCAAGCAGTAGATCTGTTTTGGGGAAAGTCTGCAAAAATGTTACATAAAAAAAGGATTAATCAAATTAATATTGCTAATTTAAAGAATGTTATTGGTCTGTACTCATATTTGCATTTAAATTTATGGTTGTATAAGAGATATAAGCATAAGTTCTTTATACCTAGTTTTAATAAGAAACAGTTTAAGTTTATATCATAAGAGAACAAAAATTGCAAAAGAATATTTTGTCTCAGCTTGCTTTGAAAAGAATTTATTTTATCTTGCAAAAGAAAATAGAATATCCTTTTTACCCTGCAATCCCCACTTTTAGGAATCTTTCTTATACAAATACTTACATCAGATAAACATATAAAGATATTAATTATAGCATGACCTGTAATGGCAAAAAAAGAAATAATCTATACCCATCAGGAGAAATACAAAGAAGCATAAAATCCAGACTGCCTAAACTTGAATCCCAACTCTACCAGTGTCACTTCACTTATCTTCTCTGGACCTCACTTATCCCATTTGTAAAATGGGAATAATAGTAGCTACCCTCACAGAGTTATGAAAATTAAGTGAGTTAATTTTTTGTAAAGCATTTATAACAGTGGCAGTACATAGTGAGAACTCTATGTTAAACAAAGACCTAAACATTACATAGTCATTAAAGAGATAAAGTAGTGATATTTGTACTGACACAAAAATGTGTCCACCACCATTAAGTGTTATTTTTTTTAAAAAAACCTGTAGAGTAATAATGAATAGCATAATCCCCTTAATCCCCTTTCCATTAAAATAAAAACATCGTGGTGTTTGTGTGAGCGTGGTAGGTGTAATTATAAAAAAACCTGTAGAGTAATAATGAATAGCATAATCCCCTGAATCCCCTTTCCATTAAAATAAAAACATCGTGGTGTTTGTGTGAGCGTGGTAGGTGTAATTATACATACATAAAAAAAAGTCTGCTGGAAGGACACCCACCAAATGATAAAACTGGTTACTTCTGGGGAGTGTCAATAAGCATAGAATGCTTTCTTTTTGTAATTTTACATAATTCTTTTATCACATGATTTTGTTACAAATGTGAATAACTTTTGTAATTAAAATGGTAATCTAAAACGGGAGGAACCACTGCACTATAAGAGTTTAGCTCTATTCATTTGTATCACTACTTACATGCATTAATATTCTGGTAGTTGCTAAAATGCCAATGCTTGAATTTGGAAGAACATGAAGAGCAAGGGTACAAAGGCGCTTGACAAAGGCAAGGGCTCGCTGCTGAGAAACCTGCTTTCTGCGCTTAGTGAGCATGACATCAAGGCACTGGAGTGCAATCTCAACACCTTCATTGGTAGCACCTAAAACAGATATATCCTTCAGGGCTGTTCTCATTACTTTTTCATTATGCAACTTCACTGAACTCCAGGAAAAAACAAGGATGAACTGTCATACCTGTCCCAAAACATTTCCCTAACCAATGAAGTAGTGCTGTACTGCTAAAGAGATGCAGTGAGCTATATTTAACTGCATCTCCACTCAATTCCAAAAGTTCTTTCCCCCCAAGTCTTGCATAAGGTTAAATATAGATGCATGGCTCTAATAGGCCAACATTTTATGTGCCAGTTCCTATTACTCATTTGTCAATGACTATAATTCTGGTCATAACATATTCTTATGAGATAAATATGTATTAAGAAAACATAATCTGAACATACATACCTGCATGTAACTTCAACATTGTTTTGTAGAGATGTGTATAGAATTTCATTGGATCAATATTCAGAACATCACCTTTGAAATGACAACAAACACCAATAAAGTACATTACAGCCTCCAAAAGTAAAGCAAGCAAAACTTGATTAAGAAAATGTCTTGGGCAGGCCCGGTGGCGCACTGGAGAGTGTGCCGCTTGGGAGTGCGGCGGCGCTCCCGCCGAGGGTTTGGATCCCATGTGGAGACCGGTTCCTGCTCACTGGCTGAGCGCGGTGCGGGCGCAACACCGAGGGTTGCGATCCCGTTGCCGGTCCCTGGTACGGGCGTGACACCGAGGGTTGCGATCCCATTACCGGTCAGTAAAAAAGACAAAAAGGAAAAAAAAAAAGAAAACGTCTTACCTTGACCAGAAAGAATATGAAAAGCAGTCTGGACACAGTGAAGACTTTCTTGATAGCTTAGGTCCTTCAAAAAAAAAAAAAAGTGGATATTAAGAGTAATAATTATCACTTATATTTTTAAAAAGTAATTCATTAATAGTTACTTACACCAGATTCAATGAGAGTATGAAGGACTACTAATAAATCATCAAAAAATTCCACATTTATAAGGTGAGCAAACCTAGAATCAAACAAAACTTAGTTAATAGATAACCTAAAAGAAGAAATAAATCAGGTAAAATTTAAGCTTGAATTTAAAATTCTATTTTTAAAATTACTTATTTCAAAATGATAGCTATGATTAAGATAATGGTGATTATGGATACTCTTCATTAATTCAGATTGGCCTTTTCAACAATTCATGTACTGCTGGACACCATACTCAGTAGGAATATATGAGGCACTAAACAGGCTAAAAATATTTCAAAAATACTTCTGCCCTGAGAAGGAAGTTGCTGAGAGCAAACAGCTTTCTTAAAGAAAGTTTACTAGTATCCAGTACTAATCGATGTCATAAAGGTGCCAACAGGTGGTGGAAAGAGGAAAAGAAGAAAAGATTCTGCTATTTATAAGAATATGAACCCTATGACAGCTTTAAAAATAAAATGGAAAGAATGCTGAACTTATCTAGTTCAAGCTGTCCTATTAATTATCTGTGTGATCCTAGGTAAGTCGCTGAGTATCCTGGCCCTCTATTCCTACAAATAACTGAGACCACTCAATAGGGGTAAAAAGAAAGAATCACACAAGCTACTAAATGTGAGAGTACTCTGTACAGTATAAAATATTAGGCACTGAAATAGGTTAAAGTCAGGATATCTCTTTAATATCAGTGAAGAGTATTTGACCTCAAATCTCAGAACAAGAAAAGACCTTAGAAGTGATATATTCCACGCACTGGTACTTTTTTTAGGAAGCAATTTGGCAATATTTATCAATATTTAAAATGAGCATACCCTTTGATCTGGCCATACATGCACACAAGTGCATGAAGATATACATGCAAGCATTTCCAGTGCAACATAGGGGACTGACCAAATAAAGTATTACATATCCATAAAATGGAGTATGAACTTAAAAAGAATTAAGTGATGGGCCGGCCCGGTGGCGCACTGCCTGGGAGTGCAGCGGTGCTCCCGCTGAGGGTTCGGATCCCATGTGGAGACCAGTTCCCGCTCACTGGTTGAGCGAGGTGCGGGCGCAACACCGAGGGTTGCAACCCCGTTGCCGGTCAGTAAAAAAAAAAAAGAAAAAAGAATTAAGTGATCTATACTTATATGTGCTAACATGGAAAGACACCCAGAGTGACTGTTTATCCAAAAAAAATCAAGTTACAGGACACTATACACAGCATGACTCCACTTGTGTGAAAGGCAGGCAGAAAGACCTACATACATATATAGGAAGGGGAACTTGTAGTTTTAAATTTTATATTCTTCTGCATTAATTAAATTTTTTAATGAGCATGTATTATCTTTTAAAACTTTTTAAAAATAAAAGAATTGATTATTAAAAAACAAACAGCAGGTCCTATGTAATGCAGGAATAATCCCTTATCTGACCAGCCTCTCTCTGAAGTTTTATTTTTTTCTGACCGGGAAGGGGATCGCAACCCTCAGCACAGTGTTGCCTGCACCACGCTCAGCCAGTGAGCGCACCGGCCTTCCCTATATAGAATCCGAACCTGCAGCCTCGGCGCTACCAGCACCACACTCTCCTGAGTGAGCCACGGGGCCCCAGCCCTCTCTCTGAAGATTTAAACAACAAAGACCAAATTACTTTATAAGGAAACGCATCCCATTGTCAAATACCTCCAGTCATTAGAAAGTAATTTCTCATGATGAACAGAACTTGCCTTCTCTGTATCTTCTAGCCATTAGTCTTGTTTCTAACCCCATATCTAGAGTTAGAAAGCTGTGCTGTTCAACAGTAGTAGCCACAAGCCACATATGGCTATTAGGTATATGAAATGTAACTAGTCCAAATTGAAACATGCTATTAGGTATACAATATACACTAGTTTTTTTTTTTTGTCTTTTTTCGTGACCAGCAAGGGGATCGCAACCCTTGGTGTGGTGTCACCCGCACCGCGCTGAGCCAGTGAGCGCAGTGGCCATCCCTATATAGGATCCAAACCCGCGGCAGGAACGCCGCTGCGCTCTCAAGTGCTGCACTCTCCCGAGTGCGCCACAGGGCCGGCCCCAATATACACTAGTTTTTGAAGATGTGTTATAAAAAAAAAAAAGAATGCCAAATATCTCATTAATGCTTAAATACTTTTTGTATTTTAAAATATTTTAGATAAATTCAATAAAAATAATTTAAAATTAAATTCACTTTTTTTTTTTTACCTTTTTAATGTGGCTAACAGAAAATTTTATATTGCATTATGTAATTCACATTATGCTTCTATTAGATAGCAATGTTCTATAGGACACTACATCAAATAATTGTGTAAAGCTATAATAACAACCATTATTCTAGCAAGGTCATTAGTGTTGATCGAATACACATAAAGATCTATCTTAGCGGGAAGAGATTACACGGGACTAGACAAATGATTGTGCAACCTGGGTTAAAACAGACTTAAGAGTCATCTGCATGATCTACTCAACCTGTGATGGTGGAAAACTGACTACACAGTACAAAAAGAACCAAAAACGGAGAGATGAACCATAGAGGCACCTAGAATTTAGTAAGCAGAAGGAAGGAGTTAATGAAGATTTTAAAAATAAAAGGTTTGAGATAAGAAAACCAAAAAAGCCCATTGTTATGAACAATTCTAAAGAAAGGCTGGTGACAAAAAAGGAATGAAAACTGAGGAACTGAAGACATTAAGTCACCATTTATTGAACCCTGCTTAAAATTCATGGTTAGTTTGGTCTTATCTATTCAGAAAGAATCTAAAGATTTCAACCTACACAGCCCTTACTTGGCAAGACCTTCTAGAACTGCTGGCAGGAGAGGTGACCTCTGGGCCTTCTTCAATATTCGGAAGTAGGTTACAAACACAATATTCAGAGTCTCTGTGTGCTAATAGAGGAAACAGACAAAATGACTTTAGGACAACCTGGTATGCCTTCTCCTGGGTTAGCATAATTATGACTTTCAAAGTTCAACCTTTTTCCCTTCCCAACCCTCCCCTTAATTCAATCTTTGGAACTTAAACAAAATAGAATGAAGATACACATCCTGTTATTTCATAAAACTAGCACTCATCACCTCATAATTTCTCAAATATCACAAAAATCACATATCAGGCATCACAAAATAACAAGTTGAAACAAATTTCCAGTTAAATGATTTAACAAAACATTTTTAAAGCATAACAGAATGTGAAACTGCCTACCAGTTTAAGTTTTTTCTCAGTACTCTCTGAAGCTTCTGCCTCCCGAAGTTCTCGCTCTAGTTTCTCTTCTGCTTTCTTCCACTGAAAATATATTAAAAAAGAAAATGTAAGGGTATACACCACTGAGTGAAAAAAGCAGGGAGGCAGAATATGTAAATATTAGAAAACACATACCCTGATACCACATATTGTCTATGAATGCAAATAAAAACATAGATTAAAAAGTATACACAAACTAAATTTATGATGGTGGTTGCCACCTCCTGGGAGTAAGGGAAAAATGAGATGGGAGAGAGAAAAACAGGGGATCCCTATTCTCTCACCAATGGTTTCTTTCTTTTCAAGAAAAAAAATTGAAGTAATCCTGTTATTGTCTGTTCATTCTGAATGGCAGATACATGAAACATGCTATCATTTTCCATAATTTCAATTCAAAAGAAAAAAGGGAAAGAATATGCTAAGTACAAAAACAACTCCTAGTGTTAAATCATCTATAACATGGAAGCCAGTCATCAACAATACTGTCCAATCACATTAACATAAAATGCATAAAATCAGATACTATATAGAAATTCAATAGAACTTCTAATTTTTCCACTCCCTAATGCTCCAAGAGCAACAAACAATGTTTGCTAAGCTGCTTAAGGCACAGGGGGCTGACTGAGGAATACTTTTTTTTCTTCACGAGAAGCTGTTAAAAAACTACCATGTTCGGGCCGGCCCGGTGGCACACTGGATAGTGCGCCGCTTGGGAAGCGCGGCGGCGCTCCCGTCTGAGGGTTCGGATCCCATATACAGACCGGCTCCCGCTCACTGGCTGAGCGAGGACTCCCTAATGCTCCAAGAGCAACAAACAATGTTTGCTAAGCTGCTTAAGGCACAGGGGGCTGACTGAGGAATACTTTTTTTTCTTCACGAGAAGCTGTTAAAAAACTACCATGTTCTTACTGGGTGTTTGTTTCCACACAATAGCTGAATACATGCCATTCATTTGTTCACAATTATTAATTTTGATACTTCTGTCATGTTTTTAAAATTTATTAGACCTATTGAAAGATGAATATCCCAGAAACTATTTTTTTTTTTTTTTACAATTTGATAACCCTAATAAACTGTTTAGAACTGTTTTGAGAAGTGATAATAATAATCATCAGAATGGGGCTGTCTGGTTAGCTCAACTGGTTAGCGCGGGGTGCTGATAACACTAAGGTCCAGGATTTGATCCCTGTACCAGCCAACCACAAAAACAAAAAAACCAAAAGAATACTTGATAAACTGCACAATAACCCTATAACGCAGGTACTATTATTAGCCCCACTTCTAAAAAAAAAAAGTTTCCAAAGTCTCAGAAAATAAACAAGGGGCTATAATTTCAACCCAAGTTTAAAATACAACCAAATAAAAAAACATGATTCAATTAACAGAAACTGACTTTGCTGCCAACTTCACAGGAATGCATCTTTTCTGTTAAGGAAGAAATCTGTGTATCACAATAATTCTAAATTGATCTAAAAAGCCAAAGGATAAAAGCCAGCATGGCAGAAATATCTTTTTATCTATTGCTCTCTTTGCCAGTAAATGTCAGTTTAAATTAATTTAAGAAAACATTTCTTTGCAGTAACTGGGAAAAAATTAAAATCTCTAAATATTAGATTTCAAAACTTTTATGATGTAACTATGATTTTTGCCTGTGCCTATACTATGATTTTAATCTAAGATCAAATAAAACAAACAAAATACTTAGATGAAACAAAAAAGGAAATCAGACCTTTCTCTGCATCCTTGATAGAGTTTTCCTCTTTTCCTTGAAAGTCATAAACTTTTTTGGTTTATTAATATCCTCTGTATCTTTTTTTACTTCTACTTCCTTGATTCTTAGGCACAAAAATGTTTTTAACATCTAATATTGAAAAAAATACAAATACACAGCTTCATATTTATACTGCTCTTAAAAACTTTATATAGAAAAATAAGCATTTAACAATGTTATTTACTTCATTCATGCAAGAAAACTTTGAAGCATCTTTTATCACATTTTATGCAAACTTCTATCATCTTTTTGCTAATCATATTCAGTAAGGTGTGTCTATGAAAGGACACTAGTATTTGGCTAATACACAAAACTTTGCTTGCAGTTTAATGAGTATAAGGAAGAAAGAACACATTATTTGGCACTGGCAGATAGGATTATGAAGAGTACACAGTAGAAGAGTACACTATGAGAAGAGGAGATATTTCTAAACTAGCTTTAATTTACCAAACCTGTTTTGGTTTTCAATTAATAGTGCCAGTCTTCATCTTTTTCTCCCAGTGAAAAATAACATGAAGGCTAGAATTAATTTGAAGACAACTTATTTTCCTTTAAGCCAATGGTTCTCCAACTTTAGCAAGCATCAGAATCACCTGGAAGGCTTGTTAAAAATTAAAACACAAATTGCTGGGCCCCATCCCCAGAGTTGCTGATTCAGTAGGTCTGGAGTAGAGCCCCAGAATTTAGTATTTCTAACTCCCAGCTGATGCTGGTCCAGGGACCAAAAAGAGAACTATTGCCTCAAGCCATTCAAAAAATTCAGAAACTAGTTTGGAAGAAATTGGTATTTTCTGTGTTACAGCACCACTGTCATATTCAAACACAAGAACAGAAGGGATTTAAAATGCTACTTTCTCTGGAAAAAACCACTGACCTCACAGCAGCATTACTGGAACAAAAACTTGAGAACTATAGGTTTGTATTATTTCAATGTTCCAATATGCACATTTGAAAGAAAGCTGAGTATTTCAGATGACAGGGCTAAAAGCACAGAATAAAAACATGGAATAATTAAAGGCATAAAGAAAGAATCTGAGGTCATTCTAGGCATCAGAACGATCAATTTTGATTATTTTGTAGGTATTCTATGTGCTCATAAAATATCACCCACCAACGAAAAATAACTTAAAGAATGTAATTTTTATTTTAGCATAACTAAAATGGAAAAGTTTCCCTATGGCCAAGTTTCACGTTCAAGCCTTATTATCTGATCACTCCACAATTCTGAGTAAAGATTCTAAATATCTTCTCTTACTTAAGCCCAATATTTATAATTTTAGTGGTTCAACTGAAATCATCCATTTTAAGGAATAAAAAGGATTTGATGGCAAAGGAAGATTATGAAATCAAGACACAGTAGAAAATATCAGCTTAACAACCAAAACTATACAACTAAATATAAATTTAATAAAATATCTAAGACCCAAATAAAGAAAACTACAAAACTTCACTTTAGAACATAAAAGAAGTTCTAAATAAATGGCAATGTATATGATATTCTTGAATAGAGAAAAATCAATTCTGTAAATATTTTTATTCTTCCAAACTATCTATACATTGAATCAATTCTAATCAGATTCTGTGTGTGTACTATTTCAGGAGGGGGAAGTAAAAAACTCATTCTAAATTCTATCTGAAGCAATAAACAAAAATAACTAAGAATATAGAAGAAAAAAGAATGGTTCATGCCTTTTATTACACCCATTCTGATCAGTATTATCCTACCAGATAGCCAAATATACTACAGATATATAAATATATTATAGCTAGAATAATTAAAATACTATGATATTTGCAGGGGACTATCAACAGAAGAATTCAGAAATAAAATTTTGTGTCTCTCCAAATTTAGTATATAATGAAGGTAGCATTTTAAATCAGCAGAAAAAGGAAAATAGTCTTGGAACAATTGCCTATCCATTTCAAATATATAAATAGTATATATTAAATCATATGTATTAAATATATATTAGTTACAGATACAAAAAATATATATATACATATATACATACACACACACACATATAATCTGCACTATACACACACACACACACACACACACACACATATAATCTGCACTAATACCACACACAAAGATGTCAAATGGCTTAAATATTTAAATACAAAAATTAAAGTTAAAAAATCTGGAAGGAGACCATCTATAAATCTTGGGATTGCGTAGGCTCTACGCATAACAAAAATACAGCCTCATATATAAGGCTCTATACAAAGTAAAAAAAGAGTAACAGAAAAATTTGCAACCTATGTAACAAAGAGTTAATATCCTTACTATGTAATGTAAGCTCCACAAACACGCAAGTTTTGTTTCTTCTGTTACTCTTTTATCCCTAGTACCTAGAATTGTGCGTGGCACATAGAAGATATTCACTGAAATGCATGACTATAAAAAAATTATCACAAGTCATTAAGAAAGACAAATACTTGAGGAGAAAAACTGGCAAACAACACAATCAGGGTAAAAATTCAAATGAGTTAGTAAATGTACAGAAGGAAGCAAAACCTCACTAATAAAGATATACAAATAAATATATATTCAATACATATAATTTTTCACCTACCAGACTAACAAAGATTAAATAGTGTAGAGGATTCTTAAAGCAAATGTACTTCACACAGCCTGGTTTTCCAAAGCCTTGCAGTTTCAAATATAGACCTTGCAAAGGACAGGAAATTTTCTTCAGGCTATAAAGTCTCTGGTGTAAGATAAAGAATTCTAACACAGCAAGGTTGCTGGATCAAAGACAGACAAGTTACTGATTGATATGTAACAATACTGAGAAATTGCTGAAAGAAAGAATGTTTGCTGAGATCAAGCTTTTGTTAGTGGATCACTTAAATTGTCTTGTGGAATGTCATCTGGCTTGTTTCACTGAAAGTTACCAGCCTATATTGTTAAACTATAACCCCACCTATGTCTCTTCCTGTAACTTCCTGGGCCAGAGAACAAATGCAGGAAGAGAATCCCAATTCAGGGTTAATTTCCCACGGAAGGAATGCCTCTCGCTTGAGGGGTTCCAGGGAAGTTAACCTCTTCGGGGCTTCTCACTGCTCAGAAGAGATGGGCTTTGAGTAATCCTTTGTGGTTCCATTGCCCAGGGAAAGTGGGGTGACAAATCCGTGGGGGGCAAAGCAACGAAATACTAACATTCAGCATTGGGTAGGTAGTGGGGAAATGACACTCCTATCACTAGTGGGATAGGATATAAGTGATAACATGTTTTTGGAGAATAATTTAGCATTCTCTCAAGTCTTCAAATGTGATTACAGTTGGATACAATATTGATACTTTAGACATTTAATTCACTGAATATTCACACGATATGAAAAAAAAAATATGGCCAAGATGTTCTCCTCAATGAGTACAAGAGCAAAATCTACAAACTACTCAGCTGTCCATCAAGCAGGTGCTATAGATGCATATAATGTAATACTATGGCAGACATTGGAAAGAACAAGACAGCCCAGTACATAAATTCACAATATATAAAATGAAAATAAAAATAATTCTAGAACAGTTTTCACAGTATTAGCCCATTTTTAATTTTAAAATATAAGAAAGCAAA